AAAAAAAAAAAAAAAAAAAGTGTGACAAACTGCTGTAAATGCAGTTTAGACTGTTGGTGAGAAAGGAAAGAATTCTATAAATGCTAATTACATTGTTCAGTCTGACAGACTGTACTTCGCAGCTCTGACAAGTCTCAGAGTCTGACAAAGTTGGGACAGACCATGTTAAATACTACTATTCCTGGAAGAGCAGTAAAAAGCAAAACAATGAAAACATTTTGAACTTAATTTTGAAATAAAATTTCTAGAATTGATATTAGAAGCAACACAATTTGGTGAGGTGGTTTGGGGAGGATTGTTTCCTTGGCTATTTTGGCAGCAAATGCCAAAATGAATGGCTTCAAACTGGCAGAGGGCAGGGTTAGATTGGATATTAGGAAGAAATTCTTCCCTGTGAGGGTGGGGAGGCCCTGGCACAGGTTGCCCAGAGAAGCTGTGGCTGCCCCATCCCTGGAAGTGTCCAGATCGGACAGGGCTTGGACCAACCTGGGCTAGTGGAAGGTGTCCCTGCCCATGGCAGGGGATTGGAACAAGATGATCTTTAAGGTCCCTTCCAATCCAAACCATTCTACAACAGTATGAAAATTTTGAAGACATTGGGCAACACAAATTTCTGCCAATGGGATGATATTTAACTGTTGACATATTTTCCTTTCCCATATTATTCACAGTGGACTGGAGGAAGAAGGCTTTGTCTTTGAGCACAAAGCTTTCTCCTGCCTGTCTGAGATCACGAGGTAATTTTCCATTGCCAGCATTAGCCTTAGGAGGACTTTTCTCTCAGAATCCTTCTGTTGAAGACAGTGACATTTAATGAACTGATGCCCTGAGCAGGCTGTAGTGCCCTTGCTGTCACACGCAGTGCCTCGTGCCTTCTGGGCAGCTGTGCCAGGAGCGCTTGTACAGTGTCAGAAAAATGTGCAAAGACTACAGATGTTTGTCAGCATCTTTCTACTGATACAGAAAATTTTGGAAAAGATTATACTTGGCACTCCAGCCTCCACCTCTTGCTTCCATGGCAGCTCCCACCTTGGATCAGCTGGTGTGTATCTGCCTACCTGGAGAGTGAACTCTGTTTCAATGAGGATTTTACTCCTTTGCTTTCTTATTGCAAGACCCAATTTCTTCTGCTCACTTTGGTCGTAGAAACCATCACTCCCATTATTCCCCCTACACTTCCCTACAGTGCCACTAGTGTTGGCTTTTGGACTCAGCTATTCCCCCCGGGTGTTTTTCTGGTTAACGCTATTGTACACTTAGATAATTAAGTGAAAAGGGTTTCAGAGTGGACACCAAACCAGCTCATCTGCAGCTGGTTTGTTGTGCAGTTCATTCTCTTCTTGAGAAATTGTTGATCTTGAAGCTTAGAGGCAGCAGAGGAGGGAAACTTCCATTTTCTACCTTTAAAACGACGAGGGGAGAGTTGTGCCGTGCACTGTAGCGTCAATCAGTCATCACTGAGGTGGCTCTTGAGGACTTCCTAGAGCAGGTGACTCTTTATTATTCAAAGGAAAGAGGAGACACTTTGCAGTAGATCCTGCTATTTGCTTGTTGCTATAAAAAGATTGGGAAGGGGAGGTGGGGAGGAATCTGTTCTAAATCCAGCTGGTACCAGCTCAGCCCTTCAGGGAAGTGCAACGCTTAATTTCTCTTGTATTTCTTTGACCCAGTTAGCATTGCACAAATGTTCCTGATCACAGGACTGTCTAATCCTCTCTTGAATCCTGCTAAATTTTATCTTGTTGACATCCTGCAGCAATTAATTCCAGGATCTGACCCTGCACAACAAGAAGGCTGTTTTTCTTCGCCGTCTGTTTGTTCCAACAATCCAGGTTTGAGCAGAGGAGGCACAGATGATCCAAGGCAGGGATGTCACCATCCCTCCAGGACTGGGAGCAGCCCAACACCTCTGGCATAAGCCATTTTCTCTCCTACGTACTTGTCATCAAGGAAGAAATAATAAAACATTCAGCTAAGCTCAGCTGACTTGCAAATGTCACAATCCCCCACCAGATGAGATGTGGCAGTGTCCCTGCCGGCCAATTCTGCTCTCACTGTGCGTGACCACCCGCTCTGCACTTGCTGATCCCGAGGGGAAAAGCCACTGCAGGTGTGTGAGGCACAGGCAGATAAAGCATTGTGGTTTACACACAGTTTTTGCTAAGCTCAGCTGGCTGGATGGGCTTTCAGCTAGATTAACTTAAAAGCAAAGATGAGAAATGGTTGACAAACTGCTAATGCACACAGATAAATAAACTAATAATTTGATTTCCCTCATCAGCTGCCATTAGAAATCTGTGCTTTAAATGCAGCAGAAAATTATTCCCATTACAAGCCCATTTCAAAGCACTTAAAGGCTCCCTTTGATTTTAAATGGCATTTGGTCAAATTTTATGTAGCAACTTGCTGGCATTCTAAAAATGTCCAGTTTTTCTACAGCTCCTCACAACAGTCCTCAGAATTGTTGCCTCCAGGACCATCATTCCAGGAAAGCTGCAATTTCCAGGAACAATATCTCTGTATTTACACAACATGCATTTTGCATCAGCTCTAACTCGTGTCAGGCAAATTGGATTATACTTGAGAATCCCAGAGCATGGGGAAAGACCACGAGCTCATGATGTGGTGCTTCAGGGGTCATCCCTGCTGTCAACTGTGGCCCACATAAGTGGTGCCAGCCACAGAACACGAATGAGCTCTGGTGAACAAGGCAAAGAGCTGTGCTTTAATGCTCTGACTCCTCAAACACCAGCAGAAAAGCTTTCAGCCATCATTTCAGATCTCTATTCAGCCCATGGTTACAGCTGCAAATCCAAAATACAAAACCCCTTGCCATTAATCACATTGCTGATGGGACAGTCAAGGTTTCGTTCAAAGATAAGGCATTCCTGCTTAGTCATTAAATGCAGTTATACTTCATTCTACACCATTTATCATTACTCTCCACTAAGAAAGGCTTAAAGTTAATTAAGATATGCCCTCAATGAGCAATTAGGACCAAATTCAGGCACTTCAGGGCAGGGGAAAAGCCTGCAGCACCGCACACAGCAGAAGGATTCTGTGTTCTGCCTCAGGCCCAGGTCTGGTCCCCTTAAAAGGTGGGAGTTTTCTTTAGAGCGTTTAAGATTTAGATTTTTTTCTTAAATCAGAAACAACTGCTTTAATCCTAACTTCAGAGTTAAAGTTTCTAGAAACTGGTTTCTCTAACCTTGCTTACACACCCCCTGCACCTCCCTGTGTGTGTGGGAGCCCCTTGATCTGCTCCATCTTGTCCCTGCTCGTTACAATCCCTCGCTGAGAGAGCCCCACTTCTGACCTATCCCTGCCTGGAATCACATTGCACTGCCTGATGTTTTAGTTTCTGATCAACTGTGTTTCTGGCTGTCTGTGTGGACACAGAAAGGCCTCTCCTGGAGTGGGTGAGGGTCTCTCTGCTGCAGCTGCTGTTGGAGTTTCTGAGCTGTTTCTGCACTGCACAGATCTGATCCCCAGATCCCGTTAGTGAGGATTGTGGAGCTGTTGCTTCCTTGCCTTTGGTTTGAGCTGATCGGTATCTTTGTAATTTAAAAGACAAGAATCTGAGGAAAGAGTGGGCCAGCTTTGTTTCTACCTCGCCAACTCCGGTTTGTAAATTCTGGTCATGATTTTCAGTGTCCAGATGCATTTGCTGTTTGCAGCACAAAGAGGCTGCATGATCGTGCAAGCACAATTGCACGTTAGCCCACAGTCTGCTTGTGAGCTGGTTGTGAAGGCTGAGACTGAAAGCTGCCGGTGGGATTTAGATACCAATTCTCCATTCAAATTAATCCAAATCCCTTCGGCAGTTCTGATGATCTCAATAAATGAGATTTTTCTGCCAGTGACTTCAAATGCAGAGCCTGCCATGAGATTGGCCATGAAAGCAGCACGGCTTTTATCTCACTCTGTGACCTAAATTCCCAGATAAGGTTTTCTTTCTTGTCTGGGAGCACTTCTGAACAGGCAGGAGGTTTATCCTGACCAGTGATTCCTCAGGGGCTGTTCTGTACAGAAGAAAAGAGGGGGAGCATTTTCTGATGGCCCAGTGTGTGTCCATGGGCTGGTAGGGTCACCAAAGGGGGGAACAGGGAGAAAAGTGCAGTATAACTACAGGCCACATTATCCCATCCAGGAGCAGCCAATTTATTTTTCTTTGGTAGGACTGCAGGCTCCTTCAGCAGCTCTCAGTTGGATTCTGGAGAGCCCTTGGTGGCCGAGGAGCAGAGGGGCTGTTACAGTGGGGTGAGGGGGCTGCCCCACACTGAACCAGCCTGAAGTGCAACTGCAGCAGGTGGGTGATGTTGTACAGCTGCAAACCTGACTTACCAGGGAACTGGTGCATATTTAACTGCACAGTGATTTTGAAGTGCTCATTTCCAACAGAGCTGATCGTGAAAAAGGTAAGGACCGTGCTTTTCAAAACAGGATTTACCTGAACCTGAAGGGTAGCTGAAGCAAATGGAAACAACCCTCCCCATGTGCTCCTCTGTCCTGTGTTAAACTGGGTTTCCTTCTCTTACCCGTCACAGCCTTTACTGCACAGCTGGAATCCCTCAGCCTGGGGCTCCTGGCCCCTGAAAACCCTCATCCCCCTCCTGCTGGGAGCTGCCCTGCTCGCTCCCCAGCACCACCAGTTCCATGTTTCCCTCTTCTAACCCCGATGCCTTGCCACTCCTGTGACCCTGATTTGCCTCTGTCCCTGTTTGTCCCGATCTTTGCTGCGTCCCACCGGCTTTGGATCCTCTTGCAAAACCCAGTTGCTTGAGTAGAACCTCAGTTTTCACTAAAAAAAAAAGCTCCAGAGTAAGCCAGTTCACTCCAAAGCTTCATTTCCGCAAACCCTGCTGCACCTAACAGAGCTGGCTCTGGTGTAACCTGGTAGGGTGAGAAGATGTTTGTGCACCAAATCGCAGTCCATGTGCTGTGGACCAGCCCTGCACTGAAAATAATACCCCATGGAATGCAGTAATGGAAACAACAACTGGATGGAAGGATTTTATTTGTTTCTTCTGTCAAAAGCAGTGACACATGCAATTGGCATAAGACTTGCTAGGCATTAGTGTCTCAAATATTCACATGGAGGAAATTTAAAAGGCAGCAGAGCAATGAGGACAAGCATCACTTAAACCCCAGTGTTTACCTGAGAAGGGAGGGACAGAAGTGTGGAGGAGGCAGAGCAGGCTGGCACCTTCCAGGTTCAACTCTTTCCATCAGCTTTAATAAATACAGGACCCACCTTCACTTCTGTTCTTGCTGTGTGGTTCGTTCAAGAACAAAGCTGGGAAGCAGTTCAGCTCCATAGTGCTAATGAGTTTCAACAGGAGAAAAAATATTTGAGGTAAGAGATGTGAGGATGAGAAGCTCAGACACTCTCACCTTTTGATCCTTGAGCATATTTACACTCGTGTTAGTACTAAGCAGAAGTTGCCTTCTGATTTAATCTGCTCGAGGGTGGTTTGGAAATCACTTGTGAGTATTTTTATAATTGCAGCTTTCCAATGCTATTTCTCATCTTAGCTGCTGTTGAGCAAACAGCCTGGTCCCTGTGCTCTCCACTGTGCCAAAACATTTGTTCCTAGTAGTAGTAATAATTAGGCTGGTATTGCTTTGCAGTTTTCTCACCTACTTCTCTTGACTGGCTATAAGAGAGTGTGGCACCAGACACAGGTACATGAGTTTGCTCTGACCACAGGAGAAAGTGCCAAGGACAGAGAGTTTCTCTGGATGGAGAAGTCTCTGTGTGGCAGTGAGGGATGGCCTGGGCATGTGCCCACCACCCCCACTGGGACCACACAGCACTGCAGGAATGCTTCCTGTCCTACAGTCATTCCATGTAGCAATAACAACAACTGAATTGTTTTATATATGTTATGTGCTGGATGTTTGTAACATGCACATATGTTCTTTCCAGGTGTCAGTCTTGCAGGACCAGGCAAAGTACAGTCAACATCATCAGCGTGGTCAGGTATGTGAGGATACAGAAGCACAGCTATGTAAGGAAACACAGAAATTATTAATTTACATTCAGGTCCTGTGAGCACCACCCCAGCATCCCCAGGCTGCCCCTCAGCCAAAGCTCCTCTTCTGAGCCTGCAGAGATGTGTGCACGTTCACGGGGCTCCTGCATGGGGCTCCTCCAGCAAATTCCATGGGTACCCATGGTGTGCAGCCTGGCTGTGACAGTGCAGAAACCAGCATTATCCCTATTTCTTTACAGCTGGCTCCAGAACAGCCACAGCCCTGGCATGGCAATGGGCTCCTAGCTCTCCTCATGCCAGGGGTAGTTCAAGGAGTAAAGGGAACAGAGTTGTGCCAGGGCAAGCAACAGGAAAATCCCCACCCAAAGAGTTGTAATATTCTCCATGTTGCCCTTCCAGAAAGTCCTCTTAAGAGACTTCTTATGATTTTTAAGAAATATGCTACTGTGTTAACAGATGACTCTCCAGTGGGGCTCTGGTGCTGACACAGGGATCTATGATGGGTCTCCCAGTAAATGTACGTGTCAGAGAGAGCACATCTCGTACTGTCCAAGCATCAGCCAAAATGTTCCTTTCTGGATAACTGTACCCAAGTGTGAGCAACATCTGGCTGCTTGGCATTGGCTGGAAAACACTAGTATTTCCATGTTCCCACAGATCACTTCTTCTCCAGCACAGATGGGGTTTGTGCTCTCTCCAGCTTTTCTTCATGCTCAGGGCAGTTCTAAGCAGTAGGTGGGAGGAGATGCTTTATGAACTGTTGCCTTTCCAAAATGAGAACTGATTGCTGTTTCCTTAGCAGATGAGACTCTGAATTGTCCCTTTGTCCACAGATGAGGGATATGATGGGTCACAATAGTCTGCCTGACTCGCATGCATGTTCAAGCCATGTTTTCTGTGTGAGGACTCCAGGGAGAGCTGCTAGAGCACAGGGTGGTTATATCTTGGGAATAAAATTATTCTGAGCAGCTTCTTCTTCACACTTCAGCAATGGCTGGGAGCAAACAAGCTTTTATCTTTGCTTCTTTCCAGATGCATCTGTGCTCTGAAATCCAGTTATGGATCGTGGCTTTTTTAGGTACCTGGAAAGACTCGAAGTATCTCTGCTTAGTGGAGACATCACTCATCATGTTTTTGTCAAAGTGAGAAGTTTCTCTCCCTTCTTTTTCATCTATGTCTGCAGTGTTGAACAAACTCTGCTTTCTTACAGAGCAGTGCAGGGCTGGGTTTCCTACTAGCTTCCCTCTGGCTGAGGATGCTGATAGCTCCTCAGTGTTAATGGACACAGGGCCATTTTCTTTCTGACTGCGGTTACTCCCTAAAACTGTTCCCTCATCCCTTCTGAGATACTTAAGCTCTGAGCAGAATGCTTCTTTCTGAACTGGTCTTGGGGAGGGAAGCCTTGGAAGACCGAACATTCGTGGAAAACTGTTTTTCCCTGTGGCTTTTTCTTTCAGGGTTGTGGGATGAAGGTCATCATTTTGGCAAGAAGAGCTGCACTGTGAGTAACCACTGCTGGTGCTTTTACCATATGAAGAAGCCTTGGAGGAGCAAAGATTTCCTGCACAGGTGTAAATCTGTTCCAGGGGGTCCTCTCTGGACCAAAAGTCGGCTTCTGCAGGTGGGACTTTTCCCAGTGGCACCACATTTGAGATTAAATTGGTCAATTTGCATTTTGACCTTTCCTGCTGTGTCCCCGCAAGAGGTGGAGAACATGACACATCTTCAAGGGTCTTCAGGGTCTTTCTGTCCTGAACCTTTTGTCTGCTTTCAGGAAGGGCTGGGAAGGTGGGTCTGGCAAGGTGGCAGATGGATTGAATGTAGTCATCACTGGAGTACAAGTCTGGGCTGGCTGCGGTGCTTCCAGTGCGCTTTGGGTTGTTGGTTGGATCTTCCATCGCTTCCTCGTGGGTTTCACGGATGGTTGGGAGAGGCTTCGAAAGACTCAATCTGATTCGGGGTGCCATGGCTGCAAAGAGCAGAGCAGGCATGATCAGCATGTGAAAACTAGCTGCAGTAAAGAAATTCTGGGCTTGTTTCTGTGAAGTCCACACTACCTGAGCCACCTGATGCCTTCTTGTGGCAAACGGTGCAGTTTACAAAAACTGCGTTTTAAAAGTTTGCTGGCAGTGCTTTTATACCCATGGCTTCATAAAGAGCTTCATAAATGTACAAAAGACACCAAGTGATTAAGTACGGCAGCAAATAAAAGGCTCATTAAGGAGATCAGCAATGATGCTCCTCCTGAATGCAAGGGGGCACAGCTGGAGAGGTGTGGGGCAGGGGCACAAGCTCATCTCACTGTCCCTGTTGTAACAGCAAGGCACAAACTATTCTCCTTATTTAATACTCCACATGTCTGTTCACTGTAACAGGGCTCTGACTTTACCCTGTGTCCCAGCAGGCAAGAGCTGAACTCGACAGGAGAGGAGCTGACCTGCCCCTGTTGGGAGCACCATGTAAGTAAAGCAACCTTACAGCTGGTCTGTTCTAGAAGCTGTAGGTGAGACTGTACAAACATGGTCACTTTTGTCTCTGCCAGGGGTTCATAAACGTAGTTATGGGTGGTAGATCTTTCCCTGTGTGCTTACCTAGAGTCAAAGAGATTTAATTCATTTTCTTTATATTCAAATAGTCATCCTCAACTTTTTTTAGGATGGATTTCCATCGAACTGCTCCCACTACTCAGTTAAACAGATTGAATTACAAACATTTCAGTATATTTTGAGCTGCAGTGTTTTCTAACTGTACTGATTATTTTTTTCCTCCAAATGCTCTCCCTGCACTTTGCTTATCTCCCCTTCTGGCAGCAATGACTACATAGCCTGGATTAATTTATTTTTTTTTTTATTGCTTCCCCCAATGAAATTTGTATGTGACTAATCTGCCGACACAATATAGCTTTGTTGTGTGATTAAACCAAAAGTGCTTTGCTAGCTATTTTAATGCCTTGCTTGTCATTGCTGCAAATAAATCTGGCTTTGTTGAACCTCCCTGCAAAGCTGCAGATCACACACAGAGTACAAGCGAGCAGCTCGTGCCGAGCCCAGGGCAAAGCTCCAGAGTGCCCATCCCTCCCCAGGCTGCTGCTGGCGGCTCTTACTGGTTTTTCTCAGGTGCCACTGGTAAAATCAGCCAAGCTGGGACTTGCTGTCTTGAGAGCAGGAGACGCTTGTTTTAAACCTTATGGCCTTTTTATTATCCTTTTTCCTGCCTGCTCCTTTTTTCCTTATGTCTTTATGCCTTAAGGACAAGGCTTGTTCCTTTGCCTTCCCTCCCACCCCTTGTCTGAGCTCGGCAGTGTCAGGGTCTGGGGCCGGTGTTGAGGAGGGTGGACAGATGCTCCTGAAAAGGGGCATGGGCATGTTGTGATAAATCACAATACAGCTAATCAGTAACTAAGTCCTGCCAACATACCCTTCCTTTGCAAGGAAATTAAACTACCTATTTACTGTAAAACTCTGCCGATGGGATGGAATAGTTCCAGCTCGGATCCCCTCTACCCTGGGCACTGTGCTGACATGGTCGGGGTCACCTTCCTACCAGCAATCCTGGAGAGCAGGACCCCCTGCCCTGCAGCTTTCCCTCCACCACGCCTTGGGCATCCCTGGCTACCAGCATCCCGGGTATTCCCGGCGACACCCAGGACACAGCCCACAGCTCATGCGACCCCCTCCCCTTACCTGTGTGGCTGCGGGGCACGGGTGGCTGTTGTCTCCCCTGGCTCCACGGCTCTGCCCTGCTCTCTCCTCCCTGTTTTCAGCACAGGAGATGTGCTGTCTAACACTAACCCATGCGCCAGCTCCCTGCCTCAGTCAGCTGATCCCGCTGCCTGTTTTGTTGCTGTTGCTAAATATAACCCGCTGGCTGCCTGCCCTGCCCGAGCCGCAGCCGGCAGGCGCCGTGGCATCGGGGCAGGCAGGGCCAGCCCGGCCCCGACAGGACTGGCCACCGCACACCCCTGCGGCTCAGCCCCCTGACGATAATTCCCCATGTGGAAGGGACCGCGGTGCCGTGGCCGTGTTGCAGGAGGGGCTGCCTGCGCTCCGAGCTGGGGTGGGAAAAGAGGAGCCGTAGTACCTTCATCTTTTATTGCTGAGAGGGGAAACCTCAGGATTTTGGGCTGCTTTTGCTCCTCCGCCTTACTTTGTGAACGAATTTGGGCTGGTTTGTCTAAGAGACGGTGGGTGTTTGCAGCATCCTTATCGCCGCTCTCTGCTCTCGCCGTCCCCACTCCCACTCTGTGCTGAGCCGCACGTCCCTGGGCTGAGCCTACATCCATGGGCTGAGCCTACATCCGTGGGCTGAGCCTACATCCATGTCGCTGAGTTCCACTGTGCCATCCACTGTGGAGGCACAGCAGGAGCCGGCCCCGCCACGGCACCTCCCTGGGCTCTGCTCCCCTCTTCCCACTGCCCCCGGCATCGCCCCCGTTCGTGTTTCGCTGAGACCACACAAGTGCATTACGGCAAATTGCTCTCCCAGGAGGACTGGCAGCATCCGACCTTGCGGGCCCCTTGGCAGTAGGGATTTGCCTTTGTTTTCTGGCTTATTAACATGCTGCAAACTGATTGCAATTCTGGAATAACCCCAGTGTCCCTCTCGTAGCCTTTACTGCAGCACCACGTTGGGTGGGGAGATGAATAGTTATGTTGCAGCAGAACCTTCCTTCTGTATTTATTTCCCAACACTGTCCTCAGAGGCAGCCCCAATAGCTGCTGCTCCTTCCTGGGGAACAGCCACGCCACAAAACATCCCTATGTGACCCAGGCCAGGGAGTGTGACTGCACTTCTTGAACCTTGCTGCTCCCCACAACACCTGTCCTAAGCCACTGTGAGGGACGAAGAGAAAAGCAGAAATTCTGGATTAAAAATCACTGCTTTAGTTTTAATGCAAATCAAAACTGTGTTACCAGCACTCAGGCTCGCATTGGCTGTAACTGCTGATTTGGTCACCCATGCTCATCATCCAGCTGCCTTCTTTATCTCTGGTGGAAAGAAATAAGCAGCTCAACAGACTTATGCACCCCTTTAGGGTAGGATTCAAAGCAGATTTTTTTTTTTCTAGAAATAGCCATTGCTTAGCATTTCAATATAACAGGTGTGTAAGCTTAAGCTGTTTGTCTGGAATTCTGCTGCCAAAAAGCTGAAGTTAGCTGAAATGACCCTCAACCTCCATGCATTAAATTTCCTAACAGCAATGATAGCTGGGATCATGCTGTAGTAACAAGCTTAATTTTTTTCCTTCTTGCTTGCAGGCAACGTAATTGCCATAGAAAGGAAAAAAACCTCAGACCCCAGCTTCTCCAAGCATCTGCAGTATAAAGCTCAGGAAAGCCATTTTGTGAGGAAAATGACTGATCTGGAAAAAAATTTCCACGTGTGCAGATATGCCCATATGGACACGTTCTCTTTAAAAAAAGTCTTTAAGGTGCTTTCCCCTCCCCTGGAAAGTCTGTCCTTCTGGCTGGAGATGTCTCCTTCCCAAAGGTCTCACGGAACAGATGGAACTGGGGCCATCCCCCACCAGGGATGGCAGCAGCTCTGAGAAGAGCTGAATCAGGCTCAGGGTTGGGATATCAGGTGTCTTAACAGGGTCAGGGAATCTTCTCAAGCTTTTCTGTATCATTGTCCCTCGGTGTGGTTTTGGTGGTGTCCAGACAGGGCTGCGGAGACCCCGCACCCCTCACTCGAGGTGCTGCCCAAGAGCCTCCAAAGTGATCAAGGTCCTCATGAAATGTGCTTAGGTAAGGCATTTCTTTATCACCCCCCCCCCCCTTAAAATATGGGTTTGCAATAAGAATCCCTTTTATCTGTTAAAATTAGTTTATTCCAGGCATCTGGTTTTGCTGTAAGAAAATTACATTTGTTTGAATTGCTGTTACTGGCATTGCTCAGGATAATGCCAGTATAAATTATTTGTTCTCTATCATATTTTTTACATTCTGGATGATATGAAGGTTAAAATATAATTTAAAAAATACCAGATACAGCTTAAAAAGTAGCTGCTATTAACCAAATATAATATACCTCTTGGGTTTTTTTACCTCAACCACAGCCACTCGGTTTCCTCTTTCAACAACTGGGTGCTCAAAAAAATAAAATTTAATTTAACTGGGTGCTCAATTAATTTAAAATTAAAAACAAGACACAATTTTGAATGCTTGTTGCAAAACTGTCATAGGTGTCTTCCAAACACTTCTGAGGATGGTTCTGGTTAAATCACCCCTGTCTCCTGTACTTATTCTCCCTGAGAGCGTGGTGAATCAGCATTCCTGGGTGCATGAAAACCATCACCAAATGGGATTAATGGCAAAAGAAAACAGCCACAGCAGCGGTGCCTGAGCTGCAGAGGAAAACACCAGTTGTTAGTTCTGCAGGGCTTGGTTGAGTGTCTGAGATATAAATGCTGACGGTTATTTTTTGGTTTGGTTTTCTGTTTGTTAACTTTTCTTTTGGAATGTTTCCAGTTTTTGGGAGAGCCTTGTATCCAAGCAGTTTAGCAGAGTTGGGTAAGTGTGACTCTCCTTTGGGCATTTTTGAAGTTTGTTGATGTTTGGATAAACAAAGCAATTAATCTTTGGGAGCCATAAATGGATACTAAAGTCAATTCCCATTCTTGGTATTTTCAGGAAAAATGCCCTTTATGTCAAATGGGGGCTCTGGGACAGCTCCAGCACTTCTGGCTAAAGCCAGCATCCACCTGATGAGGCACCAGCCCTGCCAAGGATGCTTCATAAATAATGTTAGCTTTGGGATATTGCAAGGAATATTTATTTTTTTGGGGAAAAAAATCAACTTATGCTTTCCAAAATAGTGAATCTGTACAGAAAAGATAGAAGAATAAAAGCTCCTCCAGCCTGGTTTGACAAACCACTACCCCCAGAGGGGCCAGGGGAGCTGGGCAGCTGTGTTGAGTTCACTGCCTGGATGGAGGTCATACCTGGTGGCACTGATGTGACAGCTCAGTGATGCTGCTCTGCTCCTGCCTGGGGTGACACAGCTGAGCCCTGGGCAGCAGTAGTGAAATCCCAGTTGGAAAGAAATCCCAGTTTTTAAGCTCCCACACTGGAAGCACTTTGTCTGCTGCCAAAATTGGGCCAAAACAGGACACTAAGCTGAAAGTCCGTTCCTTTCACTTCCTGATTTCAAGGCCTCCAAGAGACATTTATGGTACCAGTTCCAAGCTTTCCTGCTAACCACTAGAACTGTAAATTTGTTGGTTTACCCTGCAGTTGTTTTACCCTTCTTAGCCCATTTCTGCCCACTCCTCCTTCCAGAGCAGCAGGAGCAACCTGATCTAGTGGATGGCATCCCTGTCCATGGCAGGGGGCTTGGAAAGAGATGATCTTTAAGGACCCTTCCAACTATGATTCTGTGTTTCCGTGTTTGTCTTTAAAAGTTCAGGAAAGGAAAATGTTTTGACCTGATTTATGCCAGATTCCAGGTGATTTGTGTCCTTTAATTACATCCCTCACCCCATTAACCTCCAGTGCATTAGAGCAAGCAGCCACTACAGTACCAGTGAAGATACTGCCATGAAACATTAATGAGCTGTTTTTGTATCAACCAGGCAGAGCTCGGCTGGAAATGTCGCATCCACAGCTGTTGCCTTGACTGCAGCTCACACAGTAACTGGTGGTGGGTGCATGTGCAAACACTGCCACTGGTGCACACAGATTTCCTGGGAGTTACTGGGTTTTCTTGGTCTTTTGCAGGTGAGGAACCGGTTGCTGTGGGGGCTGGGTGACTGCATTCACCACACGGCTTGTTTGCAGAACTGAGCTCTCCACCCAGCTGGGTGGGGCCCTGCTGGGAGCCTTTGCAAAGGCTCAGGGTGATTTAGGCACTCGATTTCCTTGGGATTTCAATTAAACTTGGAATATGGCTCCTGGGAGCCTTCACTGGGAGTTTCTAGGCCATGCCAGTGTCATGGCTCCATTGCCTCTCATTAGCAGGGGTTGCCCATGGCCAGCAAAGAGAGAGAGAAAGGTATTTTGAAGTCTCAGAAGTGCAAACTGTGGTCACAACTCACTGGCAACTTCCCCTGGGAATCCAGCCCAGGGTATTTATTTAAAACAATATCAATATTTTTAGTTGTATTGTTACTGGTCTGCATATGGTTATATTTATACGGATGCATTTTTTCATACATTATTTTAGATTTTATGAGTGTATGTATACGTATATATATATATATATATCGAAGTGCCTGAACGCTGGTGTGGATTTGTCCCTTTGGAATGCACCCTGTGAAGAGGCTGGAGAGCTGAGCACTGTCTATTGTGGCAGGGCTTGGTGAGGACACTGTGCTGCCATCACTTGAAAAGCTTCTCCTAACTGGGGTCCCATCAAACCCCCTGTCCTGCCAGCAGCCAGAGTCACCTGAGACAGGTTTGTCTTCTCATAGCTGTTGCATTTCTTTGATAGAAGATTTAAAAAAATTAAATTACAACCATCAGTGAAAAACCCTGCAATATTACTGGCCTCTAAACTTTCCTCTTTTTAGAGAAGCTGGGCTGTGTTTAGATGCCCTAAGAACTGGCAACCCCAGAAAACAACTTAATTCTTGAGCTGGTTTGGGCAGTGGGGCTGATGATGGCTCTGCTTCTCCACAGCTGTCACTGTCTGTGTTTCTCTCCTGCAGGATCCCTGATTGTTCTTCAGCCCCCAGCTGCTGGTAGGGCACAGACAGTATCACAACAGCATCTTCAAATACATCCACGCTGTGTCGGGGACTGAGCCGAGCGGGTTTTACTCCATCTGGTCTTTCCTGAGATCTCGGGATGCAGAGAGCCCATGTCACCAGATCAGGGGATTTTTCACCCCGAGACCGAAGTCCAGCGACTGTTTCATAACCGTACTTCTTGTGCCGTGCCACCATCTAGTGGTAACTCAAGTCCACGCTCCGCATCCCAGAGGTGCAGCAGCACCGCCGGAACCCGGGTGCCAACGGGGGCTGCAGGGGTGCAAAGTGCAATTTCCTCGCCTGCGGCTGGTGGGGGCACTCTGCTGACGAACCACAAAAACCAGCGGGTTAACTAGGATGAGGTTTGTGCCACACGTGTCATCCTTCTCTGCTCCTTCTTGTAATGAGTTTTTAGAAGTGCCCTCGCACTTGATTCCGTTCTGTGGCTCCATGGCCTCGGTCTCTGCTCGGCTTTGGGAAGCTGCTGATGGAGGAGGGACTGTGGAAGAGTGGGGGGAAGAGCAGGGGGAGAAAGCAGAGCCAAGTGATGGCATGTGGACACATATCCACCTGCACACACAGCTCTTGTGGAGTTTTCAGGCATTCATCCCCTGGAAGGGCTCTGCAGCATTTTTTGACTCCTGTGGGCAAAGCCCAGTGTTGAGCCAGAACCCCGGGTGGGAGCCTGGAAATCATCCTGTGCCCACCTTGCTGTGGGAAAGGGCAGTCAGGTTTGCATGGCACTTTGGAAGGGCTACCCTCTGCCTGGAGGGAATAACCCCTATAATTGCTTTACTGGCCTGGAATTGCTCCTTGAGCTGCTTTTTTTTTTTTTTTTATACACACACTGCACTGATCTGGAGAAATGCCCGGGCTCCCCCATGGGCACCATTTATTGCCCAAATCTGAAGAATAGATACAAAGGGGATAAAAGGCTGATGTAGGCCAGGAGAGGAAGAGGAGGCCTCCTGTGGGTGTCATCTTTTGGCATTTCAGACATGGGAGAGGAAGAACAAAGGGAGAAGGGAGGGGTGTTGGACATGTCTGACCCCACCATGGGTGTCTCTGGTGTCTGGAGTATGGACATGAGACCCTTTCCCATGACCCCTCTAAAAATCTCAACATCTTCAGGTTGTGAAAGCAAAATGCAATTAAATATAACCCTTGTCAATACTGTAAGAATTGTCACAGTAAAGGGACCCCAGGTTTGAGCTGGTCTGCTATTTTATCAGGGCATTTAAGTAAATGACTTTTCCATATGGAAAATGCTGAGGTGGTTTGTTAGCTGATCAAAGAACATGATGGACATGAATGCACTGCATGGTGCTCACTGGATAATCATAGTAAGCAGGGATCTTTCAAATCCTGAAGCAACAAACTTCAATTAGGTGGGAGAGATTCAATTATGCTTTAAAGGGAACCTGGCTACCAGTGTGCAGGATATGGTAGGAAAATGTATGCAAAAGAATTTCATGGAAAAGATCAATTATTTTATCAATAGGACATGCCAAGTGGAATTTACTCATCAGTCCTGAACTGAGCCTTTTAAGGAGATGATACATGGACCAGGATGGATTTCGGCCTCAAGAAGGTTTAAGTGAGTTCGATTAATTTATGTGCAGTTATCAACTGAGGTTTTGGTCCTGTGACTTCATAATATTTAGCCTTGGATAATGGATGTTGTAACAGCGATGTAGGACTTTGGCAGCAAGTGTATCCCAATCCCACTTCATTAAGATAAAGTTGTAGAAATTAAATTGGATTTGAATCTGAAGGTGCTGGTTCTTCCTCCTCCACCATCTCTGCATAATGTTAATTCAATGAAAAAAGCACAGGGAAAAGCCAAACAATTTTTTTGCAAAAGAACACAGACATTTGAATTTAATAAATTATAAAATTAAAGATTCTAATTTGTATATACATTTTTAATATACAAGAAATGGCTATTTATTGCAATTTCTGTTAAGGCATATGTAAGTGAATGGAAGTTGCATATAGATATTCAGATGAACATAGCTAATACTGTGCATTGTAGGTGAGTAAATAAGACACTAAATGCATTACTTAATAAAATAAAACATAAAACCCTTTGAGTACTGGTAAAGCACCGTTTCTAGAATTCTCAAAATATCTGAAAGCATTCTATGGAGATGTTGTGAGACTCTAAATATTGAATGGATATATGAATATAAAAAGTGATGCACTCAGATTACAGAAATTTTTAAAGGAATGTTGGTGAAAAAAATGGCAGATGATTGGAGCCAAGTGAACTAGAATTTGTTTGGGATTTTTTTTTGTAAGAAGCTATCACATGGATTTTAAGTTTACACCAGCAGAAAAATGACAATTAAAAAAGCTTTGTACTTGCATGGTTAGGTCGCAAATGCACTGCTTCATGGGAGCACAGTGCTTTAGCTCTCAGATCTCTGAGATGGTCTTTGCAGGAATATATTTATTTATAAACCTGCTTTAGTTTCTGGGGATTAGGTTACATTAAAATACCACTTTGTGCTCATTATGTCTCAAAATGCAGCACCTGGGCAACAGCAAACAGAAGGCGCATTATGATGATGCTCTTGCCCAACTACAACATTTTAGAGAAGATAAAATGGTTGTCAAAGTCCAACCAAGCAAAAAAAAAAAAAAAGAAAAGACCAAATTTTCCACTACATGACATGGGACAAAGATCAGTTGAGAGGAAACCCCCACCTGTTGCCTGAGGCTGCTTTTTGTTTATTAACAGAGTCCTGTGTTGTGTTTTCCAGTAGGAGTGATGGACATGCTCTTAGGAAACAACCATCATGGGGAACTGAAAAAAAAACCTTCTGAAGAACTCGTGGCAGCTTGAAAAGAAGGCGTCTTTCCTGGTCTGAAGTGACTTAACTTCCTCCCCCCCCCATACAGAAAGACTGTGAAGGGAAAGCAGCTGGTGGCTCTGCTCCATGAGGAGATGGACCATCAGCCTCTCACTTTCTTCAGCAATCTAGACTGAAGCTGCTGCTTCAAATATTTCAGTGTTCCCCAAATAACAGCTAGAGAAATATTCGGTAGAATTAAAACAGTGAGAAATCAAATTAAATCTCCAAAAAAAGTGAGACTGAGAAGGGAGCAAGCCCTTCCTAAATGCAGATGCCACAAGGCATTGCATCGGGTCTAATGGACCTAATGTAGCACCAGACCAGTCCTCTGGGAGGCTGCTCCTGCTCCCTGAGGTAGCAGTTTCCAGCCTATCTGGAAAAATGCTTTTTTTGAGCTGTGGGCACTGCCTTCTGTGGTTTTTCTTCACATTGCCTGGTTGACTAAGCCTGTTCCGAAAGCTAAGGCAGAACAGAATCTATTAGATGAGTTATCTCAGGCTTCTGAAGGTCAGAGCAATGGGTCTCCCCAGAGAGGAAGACTGGTACCATCCAGGCAGCAAATTTCTACCTCCCCATCTGTGTAAATCCAGCCCCAACCCCTTTCTATCCTTGGATTTGTAAGGTTTTTCCTAAGTTTCATATGCTTGGATGTCTTTCTAGGCTATGAAAAAGCTGGGGGTTGTGGCTTATTTTTATTGTCCACAGAGCTAAAAGAATATTAACTTGAAGGGGAAAAGATGAGCTTTATACTAACCACATCTGTGTAAAGGAAATGTGGAAGGCAAGAAATACTATGACTACAGGCTGGGAGCCCAGATACAGCTTGTGTCTCCCATGGCACAGCAGCTGGAATGCTGTTGATTTAGACACGTCTTCCTTGCTTATAAATAGCGTGGTGGGGTTTTTTTCCCTTCAGTGCTCATTTCTACATTGCTCTGTTTTGCACAGATGTGACCTGACCCTACGCTGCTACCAAAACTTGTCCTGTCTGTAGGCAACCACAGATCCCTTGGCACACGGCTCCAGCAGCCAGGCCATGGAGCAGGGCTGGGACAGGACCCTAAAGATAAGCACCCTTTGACTGCAGGAAAACACTCAGTGTTCCAGGAGTTAAAGTCTGTGGTGGGACTCCTGCTGCTGTGCTGCCAAACTGCAGGGCCTGAGTTTTGCTTTTCAAAACCAGAACAGATTGTTGCTTGTGCTGGCTTCTGCTTCCACATCTGCTGCCACGTCTGCTTGGCCCAGGAGATGTTTCCCAGTGCTCTGGACTTTTACCAGGCCTGTTATGCTTCCCTGTCTTCATGGTCTTTGGTGTAACTCCTATCCCTGCACTACCCGAGCTGCTCCAATTGTATCACCTCGGTGCTCTGTAAGAAGGGGTACTTGATGCCAACACACCAGCTGAAAACATTCCTTCTCTGCTCTGGCCGGTATCTCCATTTTTCTTAGACCAGGTGTTGTGCTTCAAAGACTTCTGGTCACAGTTCAGTCCAGAACAGTCCCACATCTAGGTGCTGCAAAGTCTGAGGTTCCTGCAGGCTCTCACCTCCTTTCCAGCAGGAATGGCTTGTTCGGAAGAGGAGACTGGGCAGCTCATTCAAATCATGGTGGTTGAGGGCAGAAGGCAGGGTCGCAGGGAGCCCCGTGTGGTTCACCTTGCCAGACCTGTGAAGCTCTTTGCCAGCAGCCAGACCAGAGAAGAGCTCTCACATTGCTAGAAACGCAGCACATTCCCAGTATTTGTGTGACTGTGCGTACAGGCTTATTGATGGCACCACTTCAAACCAAGACCAGCTCAGACTGCAGGATGAGATCTTACTCTCAGACTGGAAAAATCTGAACTGGGAGCCATCAGACCTACCTCCTGCTAAACAGAGGATTTCAGGGAAGCCCTGGGTTCTGCAGGAGGTTTACCAGCAAAGAGGAAACAAGTGGAAGAGTCCCAGCCAGGAAAAAAACTGCTCAGATATCACCCACAGCAGGAACCAGTCCATGCTCCCTGTCTCGGTGGTATTAGAGCCAAGCTGAATTCATCTTCTGTTCTCCAACCAGGAATTCAAAATGACCTATGAAAACCATGATGACCCTGAGGGGAAAGGAAGTACTCAAAGGGTTGTCAGGTTATACATCTTAAAGTTTCTAGCAGACCTGGTGCTGTGAATACACGTGTGTGTGTTTGTGTAAGGGCACAGCAAACAGTTGTTCACTTCTGCACCAATAAAGCTCTCCTAAGGAAAGCAAGATAATATAAAATTATTTCCTTGAAAAAAACCTCAGCCTATGGGGGGAAAAAATAATGTTTTTCTTAACAAAGCACCAAAGAAAAGACAACAAGAATCCAGTCATCTTTAAGTTAAACAGAATGTGGGTAGAAAAAAAATCAGACCAATAAAAAAAGCACCAACCAACAACGATCACTGAGGCTGTTGCATTAGAGGAATTTAAAGACTACCAAAAATATGGATAATTGTAAACAGAAAGAGTAGGATGTTGTCAGTCCAAGTTGGCCAGATCTACCCTACTAAAATGTCTTGCGTGCATCCAAAAGTTTAGGAGAATCCTTTGAAACTGTTTATGGAAGTATGTAAACTACTGTTTGCTGGTTTTTAATTTACACATAAATATAGGGCTACAGGATTTTCTATATATTATCTAACACAGACCCGGTTCAGAAAGGTACGTGAGCAAAAGCTGAGCTGTGACCACAGAGGCAGCTCTGCCAAAGTCATCAAACTGAGCCTGGCACATCCTTAGGTACCTTCCTGAACTGGGCTGTGTTAGTGCTGGGGTTTATGCAATGCACAGAAGCATCACAGGATTGCTGACCACCTGCTTGTCAGTGTTAAAGGGATTTATTACAGCTTGGGACTGCTCTCCTCCATACTAAGTGTAACTCCCATTACTATTCCCAAGCAGTTTTACACAGGTATAGAAGACTTAAAAGAGCCCATAACCAAGAAACCTGCTAACCTGGCCTAAGTATTACGGTTTGTCTGGATTCAGTGGAACACTGCGGGGATATTGCACTAATACTCTGCCGTACCCTGTACACCTAACCTAGCCATCAAACTGCTCAGATTAGCACTTATCAAACAATCTGTCATTTCCATTTATAGTAGGCTTGAGAATTTGGCATCTCTGCCATAGCACCACTTTGATTTTCCCCCATTTTTAGTCTCTACGACACGGGCAATACTATGATGTTTGTAACATCTCTATAAGAGAAAAATGTTGTTTGTGCCATATTTCCATTTTAGTTTATTTTCCTAAGAGTCTCTCTTTTAATTTTCTCAGCAATCAGCTCCTGAATTCTTTGATTCCTTGTCCTTTCATAAGGTATCCTCCTCCGTGTAATGATGTTGTGCTGTGGTACTTCGTTATCCAACCCATCAACTTTGTAGGGAACATCCACTGCATTGATTTCTGGGTGCTCCTCAGTTGCATTGGAAGGGGGTGCACGTGTTTTGGGAACCTGAGGAGGGCTGGTGGCAGACTGGGTGGTGGACACTCCCACGGGAGGGCTGAGGGTTGTCTGGAGCTCCTCCTCAATGACATTATTCTTATTTACATTAGCATCGGTTACATTGCCGTCCTCTGTTGTGTTGCTGTACATGTTACAGGACTTGCAACACAGCTTATTGTAACCAGGGATGGAGCAGTAACGAGAGAGAACTTCCATGCGACAAAACATTGACTTGTCTCCTTGACAATGATCTTCTGAAAGAGAAAAAGGGAACAGATAAATAAAGAGCATCTTCACATTAGTCAGAAAAAGAAACACAGCTGAAGCTTTGGCAGTGGGCAGAGGGTTTGATATTTAAAGTGGGATGTGAAACTGGCAAATGAGCCTTCTATAAGCAGAAGCAGCATTAATATTAAACCTAAAACTCAGTTCACTTCAAGGGCTGCAAAAGCTGATCAGAACTGTTTGTACCAGCCCCATCCAAGCTCTAGACCATAACACTCAAATTTTTGGCCTCGCATTCTGGAAGTGCTACACTGAACACAGTGCAGCCACGATGAATTGCCTTCCTGTCCTGGTTGCAACTTCAAAACACACAGATAGTGCTGTGTTGTTAAAACCCAAGAAAGTAATCAGGGTAAGAAATCTACTTTTTCCCCCTTCACTCCTTTTAATATTTTTCTGCATCCTAACAGTTACAGTCAGGTGTAACTTGTATTTATCTGGAATGTCTCAGGAAAGTCTTATTTTGATGTGTACCGTGTAATTATCAGAATTAATCCACCTCCCATTGGAGTGATATTTTCGCCAGGTACCTCTACTTTCAAAACAACAGCCTTGCCTCAGCATGTCCCTTGCTCAAGAGAAAAGCAGGGCATTTATCATGAGGCTTTTCTCCTCCTCCTAGAAGGGAGCTGATATTTTTGGAACAACAAACTCCAGCACGATGGAGCCGAGCCAGTCCATTAATAATTGGGAGACCCAGAAGTAACAAGTCCCAATTTTTGTGTCACTGACAGAAAAACTGTAATAAAAAAGAAATAATGACAGTCAATAAGCTTTAAGCTGCCTATAGCTGTTATGACAATTTGCACTATAAAAGAGATATTATGGCAAATCCTGATCTTGCTGAAATACAGGTGGCAAATTATAGGCTGAGGCATTAAAGTTGAATTGGTCAAACAATGCTACTGCCTGAGAAACATAAATAGAAGCCTACTCAGAGATTACTCAAGCCCTTGTGATTTCTGCTCAGAGGAGGTAGAGGACCATATGAATTGGTGGCAGATGGATGGTGAGGGGTTAGCAGGCTCCTTGGAGAGAAAGCTACCTGTCCTCTGTCCTACATACACACTCCTCAGCTCCCGTGCTTCCAGGATGAAGTAACAGAGCCAGACACTGCAGTGGAGGAAAAATCCCAACACACAGCCCATGATGAGAGAATCCTCAAAGGAGAGGAGAGGGCTGAGGAGAAAGGCAGACTGACCAACACTTGGCATCATCAATAACAAAACATTTTCTCTGTGACCAGAGTGCTGAGACAGATGAAATCACTTCTGTCTCTCTCCCTGCTCTTACTACATTTCCACTTACTCTTACAGTAAAGGATGAGTAACTCAAATTACTCGCCTTTATTTAGAGTGCACCCGATGGCAGACAGAGTCAGCCTCTTACTGGAGCTCGTATTTCACCCTCCTGCTACGAGCACTGACTTGTGTCAGCAGCCTCACAGCAAAAGAGAGAAGCAGAGCAGATTCAGATACCAAGGGAACTCAGAAAGCGTAGGTGCTGCCTCTTCACTCATCCTCAGTTAACAAAACAGGGCATTGTGGGTGTTTAATTGGCAAACATATCAGTCTAAAATAAACTAATAACTGGTGCTGCTGCTTTAAAAAGCTGGTGCTGGCTGACGAAAATGAAAACACCTCCCTTACATTGTATCTATACCCTGATTGTTGCATTTGCTGCAGAAAAGCAAAATTCTGGTTCCTACTTTCAAATGCACCAGTTCATTTTCGTATTTTTCAAATGCTAAACTGAAATGGTGCTGGAAATATGGAATGACTCCTTCCTTAAGAACCTAGGAATAGTACTTTGGTTTTGGAGAAGTTTTCAGACCAGCCTGTAAGAGCTGGAAGTGTTCATACCTGCATGCACAGCTCCATACAAAGGCCTGCATGTGCCTATACAGCTTTATATATGTTTTTACATACCCCATAAGAGTCCCCTTTGAACATTTTGCCTTGTGTTGCATGACCCTTATGCATGTTCCTCCACATGGCTTGCAGAATAAAAGCCAACAGATACAACATTTAAACGTGGTTTCAACAAGGCAGGGCTGTTCTTGGCTTTGTAAGGATCACTGAAAGCACCTTTAGAAAAATGCCTTTTTTTCCTATTAAAAATATGCAATGTCAAGCTTAAAAGTACACAGAAATAAACCTGCATTATGTAATAAGTTTAGGGATATCTGATAAGTTATATAAATAAACTCTGTAACTTCTGAATGTCAGAATGAAATTTTGATCCTCTATCCAAAGCAAAATATGCAGATTTGCTGAATTTTTATTTATTTTTACTTGCAGTATGCATGACAGACTGGAAGTATATATTCAAAACATCAGTAAGAAAAAAATAAATCAGTTTCACAGTCACTTTGGTACACATTAGTCTCATAAAAAAATATTGAAAAGCAAACTGAATTGGCACATCTTTAATATTATGTTAAATACATACAAAACACTAATAAAATATCCCTGATAAACCAAAGTGCATATAGACATAGTGCACAATGCCCAGATACCTTATTGCACCATTCTCTATAGCCACCCATCTCTTGAAACATCACTAAACATTGTCTATTTAAAGGTAACAGTCATGAATATATTTATACAGTTAAACACCAATTATTTTACATAACAGTATTCAGTGCCAGATACGTGTCTTTGCTTTTTCACTTTGTCATGTAAATTGTTAACATGTTTCAGGAAATTATCATATTAACAGCAAAATTTAAATATGTGATCACATGATAATGACAAGTTTGAAGTGCTACACTGTTGACGACCCAAAGATTCAAAAATGCCACTTTTCCAAAAAATATGATCAAAGCAATAAGGTAGTAATTTGCTCCAAGACTGCAGTTTTACAGTTGATACATTTCTACTATTGGTACTGACTGTCACAAACAGGTTTATGACTTGTGAATTCCAAATCTTCAACACAAACACGGAAGGTGAAGCACGAATGCCAGTTAAATTTCAGTAAGTCAGGCCACAATCCTGTCTTGATGAAGATATGGATATGCACTGTGCAAATTAACCTCCAATTAAATTTACTGCCTTCCAATAGTTATCATTCAAGTAAAAACACTCCATATGAAGATTAACTCAAGGTACCAGTGTACTGTTTATATTTAAAGCTGGATCTGGTAAATTAATGCCATTTACATTTCAACATTAAGGCATTTTTCTAAAATTCTTCTTCTAAGCAAAAAAAAAGCAATAAAAATTGAGGTAATTCTGTAGTAGTTCACACTGTTATGTTTGCCAGTTGACACATCTAAGAGCACACACACACATACACACACACACACACACAACCATACCAGTCAAATCAGACATGCACATGGTGAAAAAAGACCAAAGATGTAATGAGTATAAACAGCTCCGTGCTGAGCAGCTGGAGACATCGTAGTCATGAAAACATCATATTGCCTCCGCCACGCTGAGAAAAACACCACCACGCAACCTTCAACATGGACCATGCCTGTTCTGCTTAGGGTTTGTTTCTAAAGCGAAAAGTACGCAAAACTGGCAAAAATTGTGCGACGGGAATAAAATGAACGCAGCTTTTCTCAAGGAGAAACACACCAAACCGCCACCGGGAGTTTGGCGAGAGCCGGCGGTGGCGGCGGCGTAGCAGCACGGGAAGTACCGACAGAAACTCGGCTTCTGCTTCCCAGTGAGCCCTCCACGGGTCACAAACGTAAATGTGAGGGTCAGGAATAAAAAGTGAGCAGCAAGGGTGAGGAAAGCAACAGCCCCGCAAAGGAAAATGGAATGAAAAAATTCTTCCACTCATCAGATGACCCTGTCAGCGAACTGAAACCAGAGAGTTAGGAGATTTCGGGTTTTTAGATAAAGGAGAACTTTAGCACTACAAGGTGTCATTATTGTGATGTGATCACATTCACAATAAGTTCTCAGTTTTGCTATCAAACTGAACATCAGGAACCAGTAAGAGCCTTTTTTCACCATCACCAAGCAACAAGCAAACCGATCCCAGCTCCCTTTCAGAGGACTGCAACATACTGTGGAGATCCAACTTCACACATCCAACACTTCAAGACCTCCACCACCAGTGCTACGCAAGCTCCAGAGAAGAAAGACACCGAGCACCAAGTGCCTGGTGTGAAAAAACAGATTCAGCCCAAGATTTAAACTTGGCAAAGTCAAGGGAACTTTCCGCATAGAGAGAAGAAGAGAGCAAAAGGCAAAGTCCACACTCGATGTGGCATGCATTTAAGGGCAAAGGCAGAGTTATAAATGGGTCTTTTACTTGAAGATATTTTCTGGATGGGGTAGTCTGGATCAGGTCTTGACAGCCATTGTATCATGTAGGTTTTCTTTGAAGGATCAGAAACGTTTCCTTGAATAGAGGGGAAAAAAAAAAAGACGTAACACAACATATGTTAGACAGCATTAAATAGTTGCCCTGTCAGAAGGGGGTGAGCTGAGAGAGTGAGTGGGCTCCAGTGGTGAAGGAGCCCAGGGAAGGATTATGACCAGGCTGTGTAGTTTTGAGCAAAGGGTGCTGCTGTTTGGGGAGCTTGCTACAGCTCGTGCCCAGCACTTGACAGCCAAAGACAGCCCGAAGGCCAGTTCTCCAGCAGCACTTCTCAGGGCAGTGCTACAAATGTCCTCAGAGACATGCAGTCTGGTTTAGTTATACTGCCTTGTTAAAATTGTCATGTTGGAGACCATAATTGACAGCTTGCTTCTAATTAATTAGGAATCAAAAGCTACCCTGAGTGATACATCAGGAATAAAAGAAAAATATGAATGACTTAATAATAGGAATATGTAAAATGATCTCACAGGCATCATTTGCTAACAGCTGAAAAGCTAACAAGGATAAAAGCCTTATTGTCCTGGATTAAAAAGGAAAACAATTAATTATAGGTTTAAAAAACTGAATTAGATAACCCCTGCAGATGACTTGTGTCTGACAGAATGGAAAAGAAGGCTGGAACTGTCAATGGAGATGAGGAAAGCAAAGAGGCATCTTTGTACATGATGCCCTTGCTTAGCCACAACCCAGCAGCCTCCTGCCAAGCCCTGCAGGTCTCAGGGGTGCAGGGCTGTTCTTGGGCAGTGCTCCTCACCCAGGGCAGCTGTTGGCTGGTGGCAGATCCAGCCATCCCCATTGTACCGGGGTCTGCCCTAGCCTCTCATGCTGTTCTGGAGCAAGTGCTGCCCCCCAGCAGGAGAAGAGATTGACCACAGGCCCAAGAAGCCCACTGGCCACAGAACAGCTCTAAATTTGGAAAATCTGCTCAAAACAGGGATTGTGGAAAAATGCCACCCCAGGCAGACGTAGCACACCAGCATAAATTCAATTAAGGTGTTACAAATAAATAAATTAATGCTTTCTCAACAAGTACCATACAGTATAGAAGACAAGCACTTACTTGGGCACGGAGGTAGTCTGCAAATCCTTACGTTCTCTGGTTTATTCTCCTTGCACAGGCCGATAGCGTTGTCCCTGGTCCGGCACAGCACCGGTCGATCCTGTGTGCCATTGCCACAGCTGACAGAGCACTGGAAGGACATGCAGCAGTTAGACCCCAGTTCCACTCCTTTGGAAACAACGGATTAGAAATTAGCTTCTGAATTTTAAACTACTGCCCTTGGTTTGAGCTGACAGGGTGCGTTATTTGAACCACTGCGGTACCCACGGTAACCAAGCAAGAGGAAGAACCACTCACTGCTTTTTGTGGTGCACCAGTGACTGTGAAACACTTCAAGAATGGTCTGAGCAATAAGCAAACAACTGTAAACGTGAGGCATCTATTCACAGAGGCATCCATTCACAGCGCCAGGGGTGGCATTGCTTGTCAGAAATTAGTTGCTTGAGACCTCCAGGCAGAGACTGACCTGTGACCAGGGTCCTATTCTCCACTGTGCTGGGCACAGCTCCCGGTTGCAGGGCCTCCTGCCCTCGGGGCGGTCGTTGTTGCAGTACTTGGTGTGAACAGACCGGTTGGTGTTGTCATGGAGGGGCTGGATGCATCTCACCGATCGAACCTGATACCCTGTTTTCCCACAGGTTTTGCTGCAAGGCTCCCATTCTCCTGTAACCCATCTGGGTTGGTGAAAAGAGAGGAAGATGAGTAAAATTCCCTCCTAAATTAAGTGAGCTCAAACTGTCGATCTCTAACTCCGTAACACAGGTTCAACACGATGTTAACACTATTTCTGATACAGAAAAAGAAGATGTGAAAAACCATAAGCAGTTATGGTGAGGGTTATTTGAACATGCACCTGAAATATCAGTAAGATGACACAGATCTTTAATATTAATTGTTCCCATTACTTCTGAGGTGGGCGTTATTCTTACTTTGCCACATTTGCTTTGACTTTAAGCTGGCTTTTACAAGACTGCACATAAAAATATGGTAGCTTTTGTGTCAAAAGCAGCCACCCAAGGGTGCTGCTGAGCTTCCCAGGTGTTGGTGCATGAGATGTGCCTTGTCTCATAATGTAGCATTCACCAGCCACCCCACAGCTGGTTCCTATAGGAGTGAAGCCAAAATATCTGGACTAAAAATGCAGTTCCAGCCTGGCCCATATCTGGGCACTCCATGGATCACACCCTTGGTTATGTTAGGCACCATCAGCTGTCAAACTCAGCTACTACCCAGTGCTGCATGTGCTGAACTTGGGCAAATCAGGGTGTTCAGCATCATAAATGTTTGGTTTTGGGGAAGGCAACACTCCACTGAAAACCATAGTGTCCGAGTTCATAATGTGTAAATCAATTTGGCCACTGAAAAATGAAACCTATGGTTTGTAATGTGGTGTACTTCAAAACATCACTGATCACCCAAACCAGCTCATGAATTACAGCTACAAATTGTAGGGAACTTCAAGAAGAGCAACAGGGACAGACAGGACCAGAGGACATTTACACAGAGTGATGAAAGCTTGGTTATAATTAAGAAGGTATACAGCAGTCTATAAATATTTACAGAGTGCAGAGATCTGCCAGATGGAAATATTGTTCCATGTAAACAGTATTCATGGGAAAAACTTAAACAAAAAACATACACAGTCTGATGAAATACCCTGAGTTTGAAGGAATTGTCCTACAGTACTCATAAAATCCTGGGTTTAGAAATAGTCAGGAAATAGCATGGGGACGAGGCACTGCACTACAGCCTGCAATTAAACAAAAAGTAACTATTTCACCCAACTTTCTCTTTGTAACCCACAGAAATTACCCAGCTGTGGAGAAAAGTGAGTGCTGTGGAGCACAAAGCCATGAATCCTGAGGTGACTTCTGATACAAAGATGAGCTTTTCCCAGTGGTGAAGAAGCAGCATATTAGTGTAGTGGGTGTCACAGAGCTTCATAAAACCCTTTAAATAGTTGCCTCTCCTATGTACAAGAGCAAAATGCTCCGATGACTTTCTATGGAAACAGAGGTGACTGAAACTTCAGGGATCCAAGTACAATTTAGGATCCTATTGAGTCTTTGTGGTACCAAAGTCCAATTATATTTGCAGCTGAAAGGAGAATACAGTCCTTTCCAGAGAACCTGAGATAGAGTTAGGTCATTACTTCAGTTTTCCAGTAAATAAATGTTAAACCCTGACCATGCTGAGTTTATGGGGCACAGTTTTTTGTCTTTTCTCTTTCAAATATTTTTTTTGAAAGGAAGTTAGGAAACATTGTGTGGTATGTTCTATTTATTTGCTGTGATTCCTGGAATCTATAGTTGGTCCCCAGAGATAAAAGCTGGGATCAACATACTCCTTTCTTGTTGCAGTAGCAGCACAAGGAGTATATGAGTCCTACATGTGGCAGGAATAACCTGCTACCAGTCAAAAAAATCACCTGTAAAATGTGCATTAAAATATTTATAACACTTGACTATGTAGAGCGAAGATGAAGGTAATAACAGGCATATCACACTGTATGAGGGCAGCCAGAGAAATTTAATAGGTCAAATATTTTTCATGTGTTTAAATGTCAAAAAATATGAACTTCAGGAAGATTTGGATTTCAGAGTCTGGATGACATTGGTTTCCTTAGGTAGCACTCTGTACATTTCTTCTGACACAGTTAATTCACAGTGTGTAAAATCAGCTGAATTTGTGTCTATTTTGTGCTACCTCAAGATGGCCTGAACACAAACGTCTGGATCAAGGCAGCACTTCTTTTCTAATCCAACTGATGTCATAAGTAATAGGACCCAGCAGTCCCAGAAACAGTATTTCTACGAGCTGAATACACAAGTGCTGGGTGGGTGTGATGCCTCCTGCCCCCCCCCTCCCCCCAGGGAGCAGTGCTGTGGGTAGGGATGCTTACATGGGCTGGGAGCACTCCTGGAGGTTGCACACCCTGCGGATGGGCTTGGGCTTTTGGATCACCTCGCAGAAACTCCGATGAACCATCTTGTGGTCCGTCTTCCTCCGGCAGCCGTACTTGGTGAACTGGTAGCCTGGAGAAAGACACTCCTCTTATTCTCAGTACTGGTAAATCTCACAGAGGACTCACGTTTCAAACAAACTGCACACACGCTGTCAAAGGTCGCAGTAGGAGCTCTGCGCTACCAAAGGAACTCTAAACCGCACCAAATTAACACGTATTCATGCGAATTGAACACCCAGAATTGCTCACCCCCTTTATTTTCTTACCACAGGCTTTAATGAGAAGAACAACAGGATTTAACATTTCAAAAACATTCTGCACATCTGCCCAGCCACAGTCCAGTGCTGCAACCTGACCTGAGGAACAGCATCGGGGTTTGCATCTGGCCCCAAAAGCAGGAGTCTGACCTTGCAAGGTCCTCACCACGGGATGTGCGCTTACAAAGGGCTGCCCCATGGCATCTTGAGGTTTGTCACCTTCACAGCTCGGACACTCTCATCCAAATCTTGGATGTTTGTCCAATCTTTCAGTTTCAAAAGCATAAATCAGAAATGAGCCAGCCCAGAACTGCCCCCAAACCATTTAAGTCAGATTTTAACTCCATTTGCTATTTATATATCTATTATTTAACTTAAATAAAACCCCTCCTACACTCCTGGTCTCCCCAGGGTCTTGTGGCAATGAATCAATTTTAAGTGGTCTGGGGTTTTGTTTTTACCTCCTCCACAAGGTTTTGAACACTGGGACCATTTCTTCAAAGCCCATTCATATGACACTGAGTCCTCTTCCAAAACATTATTGTTATCTACATTCAAGGAATCTTCATGGATCATGTACTTGTAAGTCAGAGATATCTTGGCACCACCGTGAGGAATCACCTAGTAAGCAAACCAGAGGTAAGGAAAAAAGATACGAAACACTGATACCAGAAGCTCTGTGAGATGACACAAAATAGGGACCATCATTACTCAAATATAAAAACATCCCCAGAGGGATTTAAACCTTTTAGCTGCACTCAACAGATTTTTTTCCCTGATGAAATAGTATATCCTTATGACACAGAGTTTCTAAACTGGATATTAAGAAAGACTGTTGTTGATTTAGACTTATTTTTCTTGCCAGCATTGGACTGGCTTCACAATACTAAATTTTTTCCATATCCCATCATAAAGGAAGAAAATTTTGTGCTAAAATGATAATGGATAGTTCTACTAAAAGACAAAGCAAATTCAACTGCAGAGATAACCAAAAGCAGCAAAGAAAACTGGTTATATTTCCGATAAAACACAAATATTCTTATGATAACCCTGGGAGTTCTGTAAAGCCTGTTATTTAATCTTGACAGAAATATAAACTATTTAGAAAGAGTTTTTGTTATCACACTGCACTAAGACAAATGCAAGAAAACAGAACACAATGAGAATAAAGTGAAAAATATTGGTCCTTTGGAAACATAATATTTATTCCTCCTCTGGAGTTCAGCTGGTGTAGATCAACACATTACAGCTGTTTTCAGAGGTATTCTGGACCAACTTATCCCTACTCCTTTAAGTCTATCATTTGCTGGTTTGCAATGAAAAAAAAGTATAGTTGGGTGGTTTTGGGAACTGTGGAACTGGCTGTGCCCTAACAAAGGGAGCCTGGAAGCACAAGACTCCTGCATCTGCCTTTGCAGGATACATTTCCAGAACATGGATGGGAGAAGGAGCTATTAGATCAAGCTGACATGAACCACTTTGACCTTTTTTAACTTATACTCTAATGTCAGATGTGATAAATAAGCTTCAGAGTCTCTCCACAGTGGCTGATTGCTAGGCTGTCTGCAGGAAATAATCAGGAGAGCTCGTTGCTCAACACTTAAGGCTGAGTTATAACAACTCTTGCACAGAGCAGTGAATTAGGAGAAAGGAATTAAAATACATCTTCTATTGTCTTATAACTGAAGCAGATGTCTTCATGTAACTCACAAGAGGAATCTAAATTATATGATAGCCCATTATGACTCTCTAACCCTGACACTGTGTTCTGTGGGAGATGGTTTTCGTTTGACTTACCAGAATAACTATCCCATTACGCAGCGGTCCCATGGTCTGCACCGTTTCTCTGTCATCGTCATTCCGATATTCCCACTCCACACCCATGTCAATAAATACTTTAGAGTCTGGCACATAGTTGTCTTCACTAAGAATGAATTTTCCCGTCTCACGGTTTTTAATAGCTGGGAACAACACAAGAGAAGTGAATACAAGAGGTTTGCTTCTCATCTCTGGTTTTGTTCTGCTCCTGTCCCAGTGGAAGAAGCAGAAAAGGCCAGTCTGAATTCTCCTCTGTTCTCTCACAGGTTTGGAATGACTTTTTCAGGTGTCTCATTGAACTGCCAATGCTTTTCTGTTCAGCTCCAGAAACATCAATTGTCCTTTTTTCCCCCCTTTTTCATTGTCTGCCTTCCCAGAGAAATGAGGCCAGCACGGCTGCACCGTGGGGGTCCAGCTGCCTTCTCCCAGCTAACAACTTCTAAATCCACTGACCAAATCCGAGCCAATTTGAGAGCTCGTGGGGGTCCCAGGGCTATTCAGCTCTTTCATATGTTGTAAGGCAGCTCAGGGGGTTGTTACTGCTCCATCAGAGAAAGGCTACTGGGCTAACCCCCAGCAGGTCCCCACAGCAAGAGAGAGACTTAGAAACAGTATTAATTCTCCTGCTCAGATCCAGTCCTGACACAGACACAGCCCTGTTAAGCTCCTGCTGCTTTGCAGGCGCCTGCCACTGCACACAGCGCCTGGTTCCTCTGCTCCAGATCCATCAGTGCTCCATCCTTCACCTGGACAGACTTCAGCCACCTTTGTATTAGGACAGCTTTTCAGCTGAGATGGAAAATTTGCCCTTCTCGTTAGCACAAGCAGGGACTGTTTGTTATTTAACAGTAGATTTTACCTCCATTTTCTCTCAAGCAGCCACCTGAGCATCCTGCTCCCTCAGCCCTGACTTCAGGAGCGAGTGAGCTGTTCATGCCCCTGCACAGCACTTACCCCACACCGACAGAACTTTGTCTGAACTTGCAGCAAGGGAAGCATTCACTGGTGAGAAGTTGGGATGACTCACGATACAATTAGCAGACCATTCGCTGTGAATCTACTTCCAATTAGTGGCAGCCTACTAGACACTGCTTCCCATTGATTACAGGGCAGGGGAGGAGCAGATTTCAATTACCTCCTAAGCTGCTGCATTGATTTGGCAACCTCATGTCAATACTGTTAGCAATGGGGCAGAATCTGGGACGGATTTGGATGTAGCTGGGAAAGACTAAGATGGGAAGCACATTGTAAAATATGAACACAAAGACCAGGGAATCATAGAATGGTTTGGTTGGAAAGGGACCTTAAAGATCATCTAGCTCCAACTCCCATAGGATGATGCACTGCAACCCATGAAATAATTTAATGCCTCTTCTAGCAGCTTTCACACATGCACATCCCAACACAGAGATCTGGGACACCAGGGAATACAGCACAGGGAAATCAAGTTGCCAAACAAGTTTCCTAATTTAACATACTTAAAGAAGGTACGTGGTGTGGGAGGATAATGGGTAAAAAAATGCATAAACACATTGTCAGGCTCCAAAGACAAAAATAAACAGTAGAAAAAAATTATTCTGACTGAAAATTTTCCTACTTGTTACTTACCAAGATTATGAGTGGTGGCATCTGTTTCCTGTATAAGTAAATGTCTTGCACCAGCAGGAATTTCAAACATCTTAATGTGTCCTATATTGCAGTATTTGAAAATATAGTAATGGGTTAGTATGCCACAAACAGGAAGGGTCTGTCTTAGGTTTTTAAATAAATCTTATTTTCTGAAAGTAGGGTGTATTACTACAAGCTAATCCAGCATCATTCCCATCCCTATTTCTGTACCAGGTGATGGAACATAACAGGGACAAAGGGCTTTGGGGCAGAAGAAAGATGCCTTTAAATGTCATTAACAGACTTCAGACTAAGATGGGCTTTGAGTGCCTTATGCACCCCCAGATACCAGGCAATCTGCTGTCTGATAGTGAGTGATGATGACACATTATTGCAGCACTCCAGTGACTTGGACAGAGCAGGTGAGTGATATCAGCAGCACAGGTAAGTCCACAGCTCTCCAGCAAGGAGCAGGGAAGCCCTCGTTTGTGCACGCACAGGCTCCCACAGCTTTAACTGATCGCTGGACAGAAGCCTTATTTTCAAATTCTAGACACATCTGGAAGTAAGTCCATATTTTTTATTGGAATTAATGGTGCTGCAAATAGTTTGTAATTTTCCTGGTACTTTCCGTGAGACAGAAGAGATCAAGCAAAAATACCCCAAATTCCCCGGGACAAACCACACTGAATGCACTGACCGTGTTTCTTTGGTACTCTTGAAAATGTTCTTTTCACCACTTTGCAGTGGGAATTATCTCCTCCACAAACACCACACTTATCTTCCTGCTTTGTGGAACCTATGACCCTGTCACACCCAACTTTCTGTGCACAAAAGAGAGAAAGAGTCATTCTTATTTATCCACTCTTCAAATGAGCCTTCACTTCATATATCAAACCCCAGACTTCTGCATCAGTAAAGCCTTGTAGTATTTTCCTGCAAGATCAACACCTAACCAGATTTTAATATTTCCAGTTCCTATAAGAGCTGTCAATTGGGTGATTATATTTTCATATTATACTTCACAGTGGTCCTCTTACTGAAGGAACAGTTGAGGAAAAGCTCTTAAGCCTCAGCTTATCTTCAGGCAGCTGCTTAAATTCCAGGAGGATCAATGCATCTATACGAGGATAAGAACCTCCCCCAGTGCTTTGATAGTCAGAGGCTCTAATTCCATTGAAAGATGACCTGCAGCAGATCCTGACTTAGAGGAACTGTCATTGATTTTTTAAAAATAGCATGATCAAATACAGAGAGAATGCACATCAGCCACATCCTAACACCACTTTCCTTGAAAGCTGCTGCATGTTCCTATTTCATTGTACATTCCACCCCCACTAAACCTCAGCAGGAAAAGCTTCCCTTGAAAGCTAATTGTAATAGTTCATCTCAAAATGCTGCGTGAAATATTACTTGTGTAGGTAGGTGCTTTTGGAACTGAGTCACAGGCATGGCAACTGTGAATATCACACATAATATTGTGACAATAATCCTAATGAAATCTCCTTATTGCCTGAAGCGTTATTATACTTAGCCATTCTTGGAGAGAAGCACTCAAGGTACATTTTAATTGTTGTCACAATACTGAGCTCTGAAAGGAGCCATCAAACACTCACCAAGCAGTCTCCCCTCACACAGATGCTGTAAGCATCCTTGTAGGAGCAGCGGGTCCCATCGTGTACCATCCTTTTCATATACACCACATCCCCTGTCTCCTTTGATTCACAATACAGGTGGCACCTCTCCTTAGCTGAAAAAAAAATAAAATGACCCAAGTTGTGAGTGTTCATCTGCCACAGTTTAATAGCTGACATTGTGAACAGCACTTTCAGTAGGGTTGGCTCTGTCTTCCTCCTTGTACACGCAGTGTGGTACCCCAGAAATCATCGATGCTTATCCCCTTTCAAAGGCTCTGTGACCATTTGGAAACTGCTGAATCCTAAAGCACCTGTGTGTTACCATTAGGAGACAGACTTAAAAACAACAGATTATTGACTTCGATGGGGGGATCTATTTAATCCTTCAAAGATGATCCAACCTGGCTGAGGATTCCTCAGTCTGCTGCACAACTACCTGTGAGAGATGCAAGTTTCTCCTGCACTGCACTTAAATCTGAAAAAAAAGCCAAAGCAACTTTGCCATTAAAAGCAGCTGTTTGAAACTGAGTGAACCTGGCATCCGAAATTTCTTCAGAGACAGCTGGGCCATAGCATTTCCTTCTAGTCATGAAGTTAATTTTTCCTCATGGTTGTACTTGTATTTATGATAATTTAAATCATTAAACAAGATGAGATGTCAAAAAGAATCAGAAAAAACCCTATTTTTTTACTGCTAACACATGCACAAACAGCCAGACAAGTGGTATTTTCTCTAATCATTTCCAAAGAGCTGAGAACAAAAAACAAAGCTGAAAATGGCTAGTCAGTGGCTAAATAAAGTTTTATTCCACTAGTGTATTTCATTTTATCCATTTCTCTTGCTGTCCCCAGCCCAGTAATAGGATTCTATGCTTTCTTTGGCACTGAAGAGCAGATGGGCTTTCTGTTAGATGAAACAAATTGAGATTCTGCTATTTTAACATGATTAAAAGTTGGGACATTTTTCCCACCATTTAAAACAATAATGACCCTTCCATTATGGCAGTTCAGTTGATGTAAATCTTCACAGGCCCTTTGCGTTCTTCCCCCATACAGTTCCATGGCCTCTGCCCTCTTTTTATTAAGTCCTTGTTATTGCTGTTGATGTCCCCAAGGCCACTGGGTATTGGTACATCAGAGACCTTTGTTACTGCTCCCAAATAATGCAGAGATGTCACGCTAAGAGTGTAGGGTCTAATCTATTGAAACAGGTACTTTACGTTTTTTGTGCAAATCCTTAATGGGCGACTATTAAGATCATAATGATGGCAGACCTAATGTATTTGCATATATTAGAAATATTAAATTATGCACAAGACATAGATGTGTTCACACCGCCCCCCTGGGTATGTTCCCACCCCCACCCCATACATACCACGCATTCACTGCACGCGATTCAGTGAAAATATCAGCAGGTCTGACTGGGTGCCAACAGCTCTGTACAAGGGCTCTATTTTAGAGATGGTTCTGTTCCCACTGCTCCATGGGAACAATAAATGTGCAAGTGCTGTTAAATTGGACCCTGTTAATTGCAAAGAATTGTTTTCTTCCTATTCACTGGTGTTGGGCATAGTAGAGGTGCAGGAGCACGGATGTGATGTGTGCCTGTCCATTCCCTGCTCCCCATGAGCTTCCTTCTCATTTAATTGAGGTTGGGAGCTAATAGCCAATGTCACACTCTGCTGCCCTGGCAGATGCACGACACAGGGGTCTGTGAGCACAGCAGGGGCCAGGATATGGGGTGCTCAGAGGGCTTGGAGCAGGAGACAGGCCATGGCACAACAGGGCATTGGGATGCCCAAGCACACACTGGGGTGCATCCCAGCTCAGCTTTTCTCTGCCCGCAGCATGAGGTGCTCCTCTCTGTTCCTGTCCCATACACAATGTGCCAGACACATCCAGCTGAGCTGTGTGTGAAATGTATGGATTTATGTCACTTCTGAGCCACAACTGCACAAAGTATGTCACTGATATGCCTTATCTTTACAAAAGGAAGTTTTAAATAGATTGGAGTTCAAGCGTAAGCCACCCTCTGGCCTTGCTTTCACACAAAAGCTGTTCCCTTTAATAACCCTGCACAGGTAAATGGAACTCTCAAGGTGTCTGCAGTCATACCACAGATATATGGGAAACCAGCAGTGCCCAGGGATCAGTGCTCAGACATCAATGAGCTGATTTCTGACCCAGAAGCCATTGAATCTAATAGAAAAAAAATCTGATTAGCTTCAGTGGTCTTTGCAGCAGGCTGCTCCAAAGCCTAAAGCAGAAGCAAAGGTCCTGCAGGCCACAGCATTCATCCCCTCACCCTGTGCCAGCAAAGCTATTCCATGAAATTAAGCTGTGAGGCTGTATCTGTGCCTTTGAAAATCCCAAACTGACCAAGATGGCATGAAAAGAATGAGGGAACCCTGAGAACTGTTTGGGAAGAAAGTCAGGCAAAGTAATTGCAAGGAATTTGCTATTAATTTCTGGCAAAGTATCCTCTCACTGGAATGTAAAATGATTCACCCAAAGTGACCCTTCCCCTCCCAGCAATGGGTGCTGGGCTGAGGGCAGGGTGGGTGCCCCTTGCCAGGCCGACCCTGCTCTCATGGCTTGTCATTCAAGTGAAGCGATACAGTTTAAAAACATGTTCATCAGGTTGAGACTCATTGCCCTCCTCTGCCTTTTTATTTGGTAAAACATCTTCTCAGTGTATTTTCTGGCAGTAGCAGACGTGGCAATAGCACAGCAACAGCCCTCTTGGCCCAAATCAATCAGCTGCACTTCCACTGACAGATAAGCCGAGGCATTAACAGGAAGATTTTTGTCCTAAGAGGTGATCTCTGCCGAGGTGCCAGAACAGCAGCCTGACCATACTGGTTGAGACCCAGCACCCATCCAACCCAACACCTGCCTCCAACAGTGCCAGCAGTGTTTTTGCAGGAAGATGTAAGAACAAACTTGATACTCTTCTCAGAATATCCTCCAAGTTCTTTTTAAACTGCAGGTTGGGGACTTCCGAAGTCATGGCAGGAACTTGGTGTTTAGTAGCTCTTAATGGATTGTAGAACTGTCAAGAATTTTTCTAAATCATTTTTAAAACTTTCTGGCATCTGCAAGTTCCTGTGACAGTGAATTCCAGGATAATTAGATACTGTGCGGAAAAGTACTTCCTCTTATTTGTTTTAAATCTGCCACCTGATAATTTTATTTGATGTTCCCAGGCTTGGGAACATTATAATCATTCTGTGTTCAGTCTCTTAGTGCCACTCACAAATCTGTAACTCTATCTTTTTAATCTAAATCCTTGCTTTTTCAGGGTGGGAACTCCTGGTTTATCCAAACTCTCCTCATCCAGAAATCATTGTTTATGTTTGATTTATTATGGCCTTTCTGAGTTCAACTGTAGGTTTTTTAGCAATGTGGGCAGCAGTGAGATGGGCACAACCTGAGCTGCTCCAGCCAAATATTTAAAATGCAGACACACCATGCGGGTACTCAGAGGCAGATCAGTGTTCTCCATCCCTCTCTTGACAGTCACTGAACTGATGTTTTCCTAAAGCTATTCCCAACTCCCAGCCTTCCTGTTCAGAGCCCACCTTGTCTATAGACCCATACAGACACACACACCAATTTTTTCCCCATATCCATTACTAGAGTTCATTAATACCAACCTTCTTTTGCCATCTTCAGTCACTTTGTGTTACAAGGTCCTTCTGCAGCTCTCACAGTGCCCGGCCCTAGTTTAATTAGCCTCAGTAATTTTGTAACCTGAGTAGATTTTGTCACTTGCTTTGTTCCCTTTCCCTGCTCTCTGCCATGTCCAGCAGCACCCATGCTGCCAGCACCCGTCTTTGTGGAACACATCTTCCCATGCAAAACCATTCCTTTTGTCTCATGATGACTCAATTTAAGAGCTCTCATTGGAGAACAGATTCCAAAGTTTTCTGAAAATCCAAGTACATTGTATGAATTGGATCACTCATACATACACTGATGCTCACTGATCCCTCCAAACAACTCGTAACAGATTTGGGAGGCATCATTTTCCTAGAAGAAGTTTTGCCTCTCCCTGTATAGTTTTGATTCATATTTTCAACTGATTTTAGTTTTCATAGGAAAAGGGGCTACTCACCATCAACGTGTTCATAGGGGAGCCAGTGGTGTTTCGTGTTCTGGTACTCAAAGTAGGGGTCCCACTGCCTGCACTGCTCCTCTCTGAAATCCTCAAAGTCCTTGGGACAGTCCTGTGTGTTGCACAGCTGGAACTCGTAGCTCGGCCCCACACACGTGCGGCCTCCGTTGGCAGGACTGTGGTGGGGAGAGAAACCCACTGTTAGTTTTGCCATTAATGGATGAATTGAGTGTCTATCAAATCTTTTGAGGAGCAGTTTAATTCCCAGTCGTGTCAGTAGGCACTTGGAGAAGCCAGTGCTGTATTTCTGATATGGAAAAAATATATTTCCTTTCAAAACCCGCTGTCACCATTTAGCTCTTAAAAACCAATTTCTGCAAGCAGAGGCTCAAACCACTTGATAACAGCAAGAGAAGCCATTTTCTTGGTGTAGCCAGGAAAGGGAAGCACAAGCAGATTTAGCAAGTCATCCACATTCACCTCTAAGCCTGCAGCACACCCAGCACAGCCCAGCTCGGTGCTGTGTCCCCAGGCAGATGTGTCCCAGGTCACTCTCAGATCCAGCAGAGCTCAGGAGCTGCAGCTGGGTTTGCACCCTCTTCCAGAAAACACAGAAAACATTTTCAATAGTGCATTGGGCTTTTCCTACATGAAAATAGATTTTACAACTAAATCTGTGCCCGCAGTTATAAAGGTCACTTTTGTGTTGCCAATGTAATAAAGGCTGAAATGAGAACTGCCAAATTTTTTCTTAACAGAACAATTTCCATTGGAAAATGCTGCAGCATAAAACTTGACTTGTTTTAAAAAATCAATGATAAGATGATTGTTAACACTGGTCAAGTTCAATTGCTTTATCAACACAAACTGAGAAATTCAATGTTCAAAATATTCTGTCTGGTAAAATAATTTAATTCTGACAATTGTTTCAGTTCTTGCTGTTAGGATCTCAACATTTTATGTTACCACACTAAGATAGCAATAATTATACATATCATATTATTTGTATATACTGATCTTTATTCAATATACTTTACTTGCAGTATTACTGAAATTTAATCATTCTACATTATCTAGATGACCCATATGTAAGTTATTGAAGCAAAACCATTCAAAATTCCTAAAATTAACTTTGGAGAAGGTTCTGATCTCCAGAACTTTGTTCCAAATTGGAACGAAAACTGTTTGAAAATATTTTAAGACCTTCTTGTTGAAATATCCTAAAAAGTGGATTAAAGAAAACTTTTTTAAAAGGTTTTAAAAAAAATCCAGCAAATCCTTGCCATCATTTCATGCTCACATATTGAAACAAGACATATATACAGCCCTAAACTTTTACTTATGTTTTACACTGTAGTGTATTAGCACTTTCAAGATCCCTGTAACTGCAGAACTGCATAAAGGATGGATAAACTGAGAAATAAAGATGATTCATGGCTTGCTAAGGGCCAAAAGTTGAACTTCTGATGATATACTACAGGGCAGATTTAACAAGCACCACTCAACACCCTTTACTGCACTGCTGCACTGGTAATGTAGCAAGGACTCTCAGCACTCAGTCTCTGCACATCGGGAAGGCACAAGGGGGGTGTGCACTTACTGTGGGTTGTCACACTGCCGTGTCCTGTACTTCACCCCGGTGCCACAGGTGCGAGAACAGGAGCCAAACTTACTCCATGCCCCCCAGTGTCCATCCTGCTTCAGGATGTCTGGTGTGAGCCAGATGCAGTGACCTTTAAAGCAGTGCTGAAAGAGAAAATCAGACGTCAAAACGATTAGACGATTAAATTATAAGAGAAGCTGTGGTACCACTGATTTAATTTTAGGCACAAACTGTGGATTTTTTTTTCATCTTTCCAGCAGAAAGTAGGAAGATTCACTGTTAGATCATGCCCATGATCCCAAACTCATTCAGGTTTTATAAACTTCCATGTCCAGTATGCACGTATGTGTGTGCAGGATTCAAGTTTACCAATTGCATTAAACTGCTCTTAGTGTTACATTCCCTCATCACCTGCCTGCAGTGGGGATTTCAACAGAACTAATACAGATTCATTTAAGGGAAATGGCAGAATCCCAAATCTGGGAGGCTAACAGTAACATTCTGCCTCTGTCATTGCATGCAGCCTCTCCAGGCAGCACCGGCAAGAGCTCTGGCCACGGCACCATCCTGCCCTGCCGCTCCCAATTCCATGTGCATATTCCTGCAATAAATGTGATCAGTGAAGTGACACGAAATTAAAGCCAGGTCACATTTTAGACATAAGTGCTATTAAATAAAAAACTCCTGTGGTCTCCCTGGAGATCTCATAGTAAACCTGGGCAAAATATCAAAAGCATTCCTTAGGGAGCAGCCCTGGACAGCCCCAGTGCCACACAGTCCATCACACCCTACCACACTTTCTTTTACCTGGTTTTTAATACACTCATTCTACTGTAGTTGAAGCAGAATTTTCTGCATTCCCCAAACCTATAAGGTATGTATACATTTTTTTAAGAGCCTTTACAGCTCCAGTACTGATCACTACTGTCTCCCCTATTAAAGAAACCTGCCAGTGCCTTTCCACCAATTTCTCCGGTCCCTAATCAAGGAATTTTTTCTCAGCTGAAGTCAGAGAGAATTCTTCTCAAGGATCACAGGTTCTGGCCCTTTCTAGTACTATTTCTGCTTTCATAAAAGTTTACTGATGAAGTGTGGGTGCTGGAAAATATATTCCAGCCCAAGAAACGACTTTTCACGAGACTGTCGCAGTTTGTCTGCGTTAACAGTTACTGTCGGGATGAGAGCTCTGGCTCAGGAGCACAGATGGCTGCAACAACAAGTGAAATCAGTCACTTACTTTCCTTAACATTCAAGTCAACAACAACATTTTACACAGCTTAACAAGCCCTGGAACGCAGGAATTTGGCAGGCTGCACAAGCCAAGCATATGGCTAAATGCAGGCTGCCAGCAAAAACAAAATCAGAAGATATATAACAGGAGAGCGTTCTTCAGCATAGAGCGATTAGTGATCTGGAAGGCAAATTTAAAAGTGATGGATAGTCATTAATAATGCTGAATTTAAAGAGAGAATCATTAGTAAAATGGTGACAAGGCACAGCTTACTGATTCGCTAATCTGCTCAGTGACTGGCTCTTTATTCATGCAATTTATTTTGGTGCTGATTTGGTTGGACAAGGAGTAGAAGAGATAGTAGAAATTAGATTTCCACTTTTTTTTTCTTTCCCATATCTTCAGATATTCAAAGTCAAAACCTATGAAATAGATAAGTTACCACAAAGCCAATTACACCAATCCTGCTCCAGAGCTGTAATGGGCAGATTTTTCTTAGCTGTTTGACAGAACAAGAGATAGTTCAGCAAAGCATGAAAGAAATGCAAAATGCTAATATGTCCTTTGCTTTTTTTGGTTTTGAAGCTTAGAACTGTACCCTTCAGGGACTGTTTACTTATGGCTTTAGAGAGGTTTGTTTGAACAAACAGTTTGAGTCGTGGGGCCCCGTGAAGCCACGGGACCATTCCGAGATGTGGGGGAGGCTGGCAGGGCATCAGCTTGTTAATACAAATTTCAGCTGGGCTTGGAAGCAGATGTGAAGTGACAGCTCCTGATCTGTGCTTGCTCACACATCCCCTTATCACGGTGTAAGTTCCACAGCAGTCACCAAATCCATTTCAAGAACCATATAGCCTATGTTCATTATATGATGATCCAGAATCCAGTGCTTGGACTCATGCAGGAGACACTGAGTTTCCCAATCTCTTTTCCCTGTTTTAGCCAAGAATAGCGGGATGTGAGTTTACAACCAGCACCAATAAACCCCCTATTTGAGACTGGGACTGGTCCCTGAACTGGAAGGCAAATGTGGAAAAGTGTTATTGACTTTGCTGCGTAAAGGAAAGAGCAGTACTGGTTTTTACTGGAGAAGTTGGTCAGATGCTGATTGTTGGGAAGCTGAGGCAGAGCTATTAGGAGAGAAGCATTTGTGTAAAATGAGTCATCCCCTGCTCTGCCTTTTTTTTTGTGGATTAAAAGAAAGGAGCCTACAGAAAACAAAATGATTCACAAACGAACCTTACTCTGTGCAGACTCTTGCAAGAAATTGATGAGAAGGTAAACTCAGACGGAGAAACCTCCAGTGTAATAAAGGAAGTTAAAGCCAACCCTTCCTATTCCTACTACATTAAATACACAATGAGGTGGAAAAGAGCCAATTTCAAGCACTATTCCCTTCATAAACAGGGGGTGTCACTGAAAGAGTGAAGTATATTAAAGCAATATTTTTTTTTAAATTAAAAAAAAAATGGGTAAATTTAAATCATTTTCTTAGTGGAAGACAAGATGACTTCTTGCAGTCTCGTCTGTTTTTCTGGCAAACAGGACAGTCCAAAGCAAGTGCAATTTCCAGGAGAGGAAGCTTAAATTTCTTGCAGTAAAACATTCCACTGCTGTTTTCAGCAGTTCTTTGAAACAACTGCTGTGGACGCCAAAAAAAGAGCCAGTGTGTTCCTGTGGGCTTAACACATCCGCAGGTCAATTTTCCAAGAAAAGACTTGAAGATCTTGTGTGGGTGTCTCTAACTGTTTCATATTGGGCAGCAACAGGCAGTTCTCCCACCTCCTCATTTGACACCCCAGATATCTGCCAGGTAACCTCTGGTACTGCACCATGGCTGGTGGCCCTCAGCTCTCCCCACTCTCCTGAGATCCTCTAAGGAGAGAGTTACTTATTTATTTGTATTCCCCAACACACACAGGCTGGCCCACTCTGCTCCATCTGTTGAGAATAATTAGTTACAAGGGATGAACTGAAAACTCCAACACTAAGGACTTCTCTGAGCCAGTAAAAGTTTCTTCAGTGGAGAATCAAGTATTCTCCCTGTTTCTGTGGTGACTAACACAGCTCACACTCACCCATCTGTCTCCTGTCTCCAAGAGAAGCTGAGGTCAGCTTCCTCAGCGGGAAATTATCTGGATTGCTTTGAGTACACATTAGTGTTTTCAGAAACCTTTTTTCTTGGTCCATTTTTCTTCTCAATAATATCTATTTATTTCAATATTTAATCATTCCCTTCCTTTCCTGACAGAGTAAAAAAAAAAAAATCATTCCAAGTTTGACTCAGATCATCTCATTAGCACAGTGCAAGCAATGAGAAGACCAGCTAGGTTTGTGCTGGAACCTTGGCACATGAGCCAAATCCAAGAGCAACATCAGCTTGGTCGGCAGGGTCAGGTACCAGGCTCTTACCTCTCTCCAAGAAAAGGAAAAAAAAGGAGGCTCAGGTGGTGCAAACCTTGGTGTTAGTCAATGCAGCAAGCAGATGGATCTCCTTGCATGAATGACTCTGGGTTTGATTTCTACCCTGTGGAGAGCAGTTTGCTACTTCAGCCAGTATAAATGTCTCCCCAGAAGAGTAATATTTTTTAAAAATGGAATAACAAAAACTGATGATATATTACTTAAGGTTGTCTGTATTCAGAAGCCTGAGGCTAATGGTGAAGCCGACAGAACTGTATACAAGTAAATAAATTTATCAGCTGAAAGCATATGTTTTCTTTCAATCTACAGAATGCTGGGCAGAGTTAAGCTTTGCACAGTTATGTCTTGTCTGCGTGGTTTACTATAGCAATTTATGGAGTGTCTTTGACTCCACATGAAGACTGACTTAACTTTACACACAGGAGTCATTTCATGGAAGTTGATGTGACTGTTGCAAGTTATTGCATCATCAAAGTTTCACAAAATTGACAGAATCTTCCCTTTTGCTATTGAAAACTCAATCTAGTTTAAAAAAATCAAGCTGGGAGCAATATAAAATATTGTTTCCTCTAGGATACTGTCAAAATAGTAGTTTTCTTCTCTGGCTGGGAAGCTCAAAGAGAATATTTGATTTTTTTATCTTTAGGCCCAGCAAATTATTAGTTTGCTGCTAATTAACATAATGATTGTTCGATATCTCCATTTCCACAAGGAGACTTATTAAAGAGGTTTTGAAATGGCAGAACCTCACTCTTTTGGCACCTTGTTTCAAATAACCACATGCACAGAAGAGCTTACATACATTTACATATATTTACTTAAGTATAAACACTTATATGTATGCATACATACACACATACAGACAGCATTAGAAAGTCTAATCTTCCCTTTCTAAGGGTCAGTGCCTGGGTCTAGTTCACAGCCTGGGTGTGCAGAGGCACAACCCTTATCATCTTGCCTGCCAAAAATGTGCTATGGATCTCATGTCTCCCAAGTGGGTGTTCTTGCCCCTTGATCATCAGTTAGGAAGGAGGCAGCTGGACTGGCTTCTCCTCAATAGCATCTGCTAAGTTTGGGAGCAGTTATCAGTTATCTGAACACCACCCTTAGGTGAGAACATCCACCCACCGTGCGCCGTGTTCGTCTCCCCTGCACCACTTTCATTTCTGGCATCGGGTCCCCTCAGCTGCAGCAAAGCCAGGATGTTTCTTTGACACATCAGCAGTGTTGTGATTGGTTTGAGCTTAAAATAGGCCCTGGGAATTAGTGGTATGAAATCATGAAAACTGCAAGTCTCTAAAGTGGGAAACAAATGGATCTTTTTTGAATCAACATCTTTAATTGCTTATGTTTCTGTGCTTTTCTGGTGTTATTCCAAAGAAAATAGTGGATCAAGTTTGAAATTATTTTCCTCTTCCTCATGTGCTGGTGAGGTATCATCGTAGATGTACCTGAAAGGAGGTTGCCCCACTGCAACTGAGTCCCAGTTTTGGGGAATAAATGCATTTTACATCCCTGTGCTTTCACACAAGAGCCTCTGGTATTGTCCAAATCGGTGTAGAGAGTGAACAGGGGAAAACAAGAGCAGGGATGAAAGGGAAGGGAACAGATGAAAAAGCATTGATCGGATGTGCTTGTATTAAAAACCCCAACAACTAATAAATACACTGGTCAGATGTTGGGCTCAGATGCACAAAGTCAGCTGTATAACCTTCATAGCTCATGCTATTTTAAAAAATCAAACATTTAGCTCAGACTGCTGAGCCTTATCTAACAAAATTATTTTCATTTTACAACGTTTTCCCGGGTTCTTCTGGAAGGTGGCAGCAAGCTTATTTATCAAAATAACTGGGACAGCTCCCCTGAGAATAAAACAGTCATAGTCCTATCATCTGCTGCAGCTTCAGAATGTGCACATACTCTCTTGCATCTCTGCTGAGCTCAAAAGCCTGGCTGTCTGCACAGCTTACTGAAGCCTTGGATCCCAAGTTCCAGTCCAAAGAAAATTTTTACAGCTGAGTTGCATAATATCCTGACAAACTGTTTATAATGGAAGCACTGACAGATCCTTAGCTGTAGGGTTACAAATTCCCCTTTTTCTCCTCATTTCTGTTCACATACTAATGTGAATGAGTGGCACGGGGAAGAGGGTGATGCAACAAAATGGATATAAGTGTATTTTTCAAGGGGGGTTCATGAATATTGTTAATGCGAAAATCAAGATACACAAAAGTGAATCCAAATAAACTGTCCAAGATTTTGGACTGTAATTTAAAATATATATAATTTTTTACAATAAGAACCAAAGCTGTTACAACAGGAGTAATTTAAAGAAGAGAAAACCAGAAAGGAGTGGTTTATTTAGAGCGTGACTTGCTGGGGGATTAATTTAACATAACGTTTTCATAAAAAAGACATTCCAAACCATAACAGCAGCTGCTAACACGGTTCATTTATCGCATAAATGATGTCATCCATTGGGTTATAAAAAAATCTTTCCAAGTAGCGACATCTTCCTCTCCCCCCCAGTCACTGCATCCAAAGCCCAGGGAAGCCAGATTTTTTTCAGCAGACTTCAAAGGACTTGGAGTTCAGATCCACTGTGAGCACAGCATGATCTCCACAGAGGATAACTGAGGTTTGGAGTAGGTCCAGCGTGGTGGCTGAGTGGTCAGAGCTGTCTGAGCCTTTGCCACATCACACCATCCCCTCCACAGCTCCTCGTGCCTCCCTTGACTATCATCAAACCAGCAAATCCACCTCCACAAATCTGCCCTTCTCCCCTCATAGTCCCTCTTGGCCGTCATGTTGGTTCTCCCTAGCTGGCACTCACCTCCCACATCCATCCTTTCCCCCTGGGAGACTACAGTGGCCTTAGCTTGGCTGTCATCTCCAGGACCTCAGTGCTCTCTGCATCCCCGCACTGCGATACAAGTACAACCCCCTGATATCAAAAAAGTCATAGCAGAGTAGAAATTTCCCCATTTTTTGATTTTACCATGAAGACTTGCCAAGAAGAATTGCCTGAGGAGGCGGTTTGATGGTCACAGAGTGACCATGCAGGACACACCAGCCCTCACCCCTGTGTTCTCCCCTCGGCTCCTCACTTGCACTCATGAGATTGCCCCACATCTTAGCAAACTTCAGGTCCTCAAGACAGGTTCTTCTCCTTTTCCTCTTGATTTTAAGAACAGCACCCCCAGCTGCACACAAACACACGTGAGCACATGTGCACAGCTGGGTACCCGGGGCACCCACTCTCACCTTTCCTGGAGCACACATGGTCCCGTCCAGCGGAGGCCCTTTCTTTGTTTTGCAGAAATAGGGGTTCTCGGGGTGGCTGCACCACAGTTGCTTGCAGGGATCGAACGTGCGGAACTGAAACGCAAGAAAAATCTGAGTGGATGATGCTCTGAGAGAGTTCCCACTGGAAACTGCAACGGAAGCTGCAGCATGGGGCTGGGGGGGGGGGTTTCCTTTCCTAGGTGTAAAATTATTAGCACTGAGGAACAACAGGATGTCTGTGGATTGAGCATGTTTGAGCTTTCACACAGAATCATCAGTGACTTTGAAGTGAGATCCCACCTGCGTGAGATGGAATAAAGTCAGGCAAAAATAGTTTTACACTGGTGACCAAAGGTTGACTGGGCAAGGGGAAAACCATTTTCCCTAGACAGTAGGAGAAACACAGCCTTTTCTTACAGTTTCTCTGAACGGTGCTGCTTCACTTGGCAAACAAAGCAAAAAATCCTTGAGCACCCATGGCAGACAGAAACGAGCTGCTCTGACTGAAGTTCAGGTGTTGTAATCACCTTCTTAGGAGGATGGAAATTTGAGATCAGAACCCTGATCTGATTAATAAATCAGCATTTTAGCAATGCAAAGGCTTCTATAGGAGAGGATGAGAATCATCCACCACAAAACATAATAAAACACTATGTCTGGATATGCTTTTGGCTATTCTGAACAAAGATGACTAGAACGCCTCCATTGCCCAGGCTCTGGAGAATGGGTGTAAGAAAAGATTCTCTTTGGCTGAGACTTTCTTCTAAGCCAGCAGCAGTGGGAATTGTGTCAACAGACAATACTAGAGCTGATGCTCTGAAGGTTCTCATCCATTATCTAGAGAGACTGCTCGGCACACATATTCCAGCAGATGGGAATGAAAGCCGAAATGTTATGTGTCAGCAGCTACCACACCAGTTGAAAACATCTCTTTCCATTTAGTATTTTGCCTTGTTTGAGGACCTGAAGGTGGGAGGCACAGTTCAGCTGCAGAAGACTGTTTTCTGAGGCCAATCCACTGAGAATTGCACTAATCTCGCCTGGCTTTAAATTTAGACTTTGCCTCTTGTTTTCCTCATACACAAGAGCCAACCATGTCATCAAGAACCCTTGCAAGTTGCTTTACTTGCTGTCATGCTTATTTTCTCTTGCTAGGTATCAAAATGCATCACACTTTCCATAAAATTAGATCATAAAATCATGCTGCCCTGTGCTAGCACTACAAGATGTGCCAGAAAATCCATCTCCTCCACATCTGGGTGGGAGTTTTGTAGCAAAATAACTAGCTGCCAGCAAGAGGAGGCTCAATAATGCAGCAAGTTTGTTTGCTTGAAGTCTACAGATATTTATGAAACTTTATTTATTATTTATTTCTGTCACTCCAGTTAAAAAAAAAAATACAAGATCTATTTCAAATAACTAAAATTTGTCAACATTCAGTTGTTAATCCTTGCTTACAGCTAAGGGGACACAACATCTTTCCTTGTGGGCTTCACTACTCTGTCCCTATTAAGGACATTTCAGAGACACTTAGAGCCCTCCTGGATGAGAAATAGCAGAAGCCAAAGTTAAGTACTCACAGCTGTGCACATCATGTAGCCCAAACCAAAATCAAACCGGCACTGCTCATTCATGGAGTAGTGAATTCCTGGCAGCTGTGGAAGGGAAGGCCAGTCATGTTCGAAGGGATCATCACGCAGACAATCATAGGAACTGCAACAGGCAAAAATTACAGTAACAGATGGGGCTGTGAGACTTGCACAGTGTTTGTGGTTTCATTGCCTTTTTGTTCCAAACAAAACAGAGCCTACAATTTCTCAGATGCTGGTTGTGAAGAGCAGCTAATATTGCAATTACACTCACATTCAGTTTATCATGTTGTATCCACCTTTAATGGATTCTATATATATTTTTTTTCTGAAGCCCTTCTTTGTAATTTCCATTTAGCTTGCAGGTAAATTCCTATCAGTCTCCAGGCTCCTTATGTGAAAGGAATCAAAGGAAGAATCCACATGAGACCAAGAAGAAAAGAAAGTTTAATTAATTTTCCATTTGTGGAATTTCTTGCTGCCTGCAACTGTCTTTCAAGTGAAGTTTCAAAAGCAGAGGCCAGGGTAACCAGCCCAGAGTACCACTAAGCCTGCAGTTTCCCTGTGTCTTTGCTGAGAAGCAGCAGCTCACACTCACAGACTGAGTTTCCTTTCTATGTGATGAACGTGGAAGTTTCTCCTCTCCTCCTAAGGAGGGAGGACAGCCTGTAATATATTAGAATTACATCTGACCAAGTCACGTGGGGGACAGAGGACTGGTGCCAGTATCACCAAATGGTTAACACAGTAAAAGCACTGGTTAATTCACAAGACCAACACAGTCCACAGGATCTCTGAAATGTCTCAGAGTTATTTAACAGACATGAGGACACCATACACGAGTCTGTCCTGGCAATCATTAAGGTTGCCTTGAAGATACCAATAGCTGAAAGCAGAATTTTGAGGTTAGATTTACTTCAAAGCAAACCATCGTTCTGCTTTGTTATAAGACATTTTAAAAATAGTTGTATTTAAAAGAATGTAAAGCAGCCCTCTAGGCCAGATGATTTTTATTTAATGGCTAAAGCTCTGGAGGATCTTGATAATTGAAACAATCACACTTGCCTCACAATATTTTTATTCCTTATTGCCACACCTAAGATATCCAAGATAATAAAAATACGGACAAAAAGACTGACTCGTGTTCTCTTCTTGTATTTCTCTGCATTTTTTTCCTACTAATTTTCAGGTTTTGCTGCTTATCCTAGTAGTTTCCCCAGACTTTTCTGTACAGCTTGCACATAAAAACAAGGGGAAGTTTTTTTTTCTGTAAGGAGCAAAACCATGGTCATAAACAATAGAGCTTCTCAGGGAACTCTAGCACGGGTCTAGTGCCTGAAGCATCAAGTCCAAAAGGAAGGCAAGGGGCATGGATAAAGCTGTTTAAATGACTTTTCATTTAGGTACTTAAAGGAAAACTAGCAGCTGAAGAACTAATTCTAGAACCATATTCTCTCTCTAGATATCTATTAAAGCCAAAAAAAAAGCCCTGAGGACTTAAAGGGCAGATTTTTGTCTTTAAGCAGCACCATCTTATCATTGACAGGTATCATAAGCAACAAATGGTCCTTGAAGCCAAATGTGGTATGTGCAAGACAGACACCATGCTGCTGGGTAGCAGAGGCACTATCCAGGGTTACAGCAGGGAGAGAGGAAAGGTAGCAATGAGATTCACAATAGTGCCTTCTCAACACCCCTGAGAGGACAGTGGATACTCTCTAAATGTCCAGAAAATGAACAGATGTAAATGAAACGCGAACAATTTAAAATGGACTGAAATAAAACTAATTGAGAACTTGTAGTTAGTGGGAAAGAATGTCATTCCTGATGGGTGGGGAGGGGATTCTGTGTTCGTTTTACTCAGCTCCACATGAGTAACTAACAAAAGGGCAAAGCACAAAGGCTGGGCGAATTGTTCTGACATGCTTCCTAATTAAAGGGGAGAGGCTACTACTGGCAGCTACTCACTGGAGGTATCTGTTCAGCTCCTGCTGGCTGCAGCGGGACCAGTGGAAGCGGTGGAAGGCGGCCTGCACCAGGGGGGCCATGATGCTGCCCAGGCGCACCTCGTCCCCACATCTGTTCCCTTGGCCGTCGTGCTCCATGCCTAAACTGCCCCGCACAGGAGAGACACAGCACAGTTACATCACAGCTGAACCCTGAGTGCCCGCGAGTGCTTCCACGTCCCAAAGGCCACCGGGGGCTGATGGCAGCACCGGGGCTGATGGCAGCAAGGTGCTGAAGTCCCGTCACTCTTGCCCACACGAGCAAAGCCATGAGAAGTCAGAGGGTGCGGCTGAAGCTGAAGAGCTAGTCTGGAAGCACTGACCCTTGAGGGTACTTTCATGCCATTAGGCTAATCCATTTTCAGAAAGACTAAAAATGCCTTTTCTGGGCTTCTGTGAACATGACATTTGTGAGTTACTACAGCTAAATTAATCCATTTCTGAATTATTGAGCCAGTCCACCCTCCAGCAGTAGTAATAGAAATTTACTCATGCTCCAGTTTGGAGCTATTCAGGAATTCATTTAACTTCTAAAAAAAAAAAAAATCACACCTTGGCTTAATTCAAAGTATTTTGCAACTGTAGACAAGTCCTTTGCATGGAAAAAAAAGGAAAGACACCACAATGGAAGCTAGTTCAGACAAGCTGCTGCTATTGCCCAGGAGCAATCCCACATTGTTTAAATGTGAAACAGCCTGGAAAGTGTTGGGTACTTTCTAGAAAATTTCCCCAAGTTACAGATATTTTAAGATTTCTTTTTGTCTTTATTATGAATATGTTTTCTCCTTTCCTTTTTTAGGATCTTATATTGCATTTTTTAATGAGCACTCTTGGACCAACATGGGCAGTATCTGTCCATAGTTAATACAAATTAACAGATTGGGGCTGAATGTGACTTGAGGGATTACAAACATTCTTCAGTGGTATCTCTTTAAAAGCTCCCAGTGTATTCTTTTTAATCCTAATTCAAAAATTCTGGAATCAAATACCATCTGGGTATTAAATCTATGTCCTGTCTAACTAAGATAGGTTTACAGTGATTTCAATACATTTTGGCACTTTCTTGTTCAAAGCCCTTAATAACTCTGATATAAAAAAGAGAAAGGGCCTTCAGGCTTTCTTAGGGAAGACAGAATAGATTGAAACTGTTCAGAAAAAGCCTTCTGGGAACTGTTGTTCTACCAAGAGAAAATAGGAAATCAGCGGGTGTTCTCTGCAAACAGGGAAGCGAAAACGATCTGGGAGAAACCAAAGCTCTGGCAGCTGCTGCCCAGTCATTGGTTCTAATAACATCAGTAAGTAAAATGATTGCAGATTTTATATGAAATATATAGAACAGTTGTAACCACAGTGCTTGGCACCTCACTCCTATACTGTATTATTTCCTTTATCTGCAGTAACATATACAGATGATGTGCTTATTTAGTACGGATGGTTTGCAAGAATCATGTGTTCTGCTGGCTCAATGAATTCATGTTTCATCATTATGAGTACTTTACATTTCCACCAGGAGACTACAATACATCATTCAACCTACTCTCACAGCAGTCCTGGAAGACATTTTGGCATTAGTTCTTTTTTCCATTTGAAAATCCCAAAATATAAAGCTTACTTAAGATCATAAAGAAAGCTTAGCGAGAGCTGAGACCTGGAACTGGAGTTAACCCTGAATATTAGTTCTTTACATCAACGGCATCTTTCCAATGTCATCAGTATTTCTCTGCATCAAAGACCTTTAAAGGTACAACACAGATGTCCACAGTTCTACTCACACATGTCCAGTTTCGTGAGCCACCACAAATGCAGATGAAAAACCATCTTCATGGTTGAGAGTGCAGCTTCGGACAGGATGACACATCCCAGTGACTGGAGCGTAGCCTGAGAGAAACACCAGGTGTTTCAGAAAATTAACAATATAGAAAGGCAACATGTGGGAAGCTCTAGGGTGAACATCTGTCTTTTGTTGTGACACAAGTATAGTTGGAGTGCTCCTCTCAGGAGACCTCTGCCCCCAAACATTTAACAGTGCTCCCTCATCTATGAAACAGATGTAGCCAGCTTGTTGGACAAATTAAAACTTCCTGGCTCACCAAGAAAACTCTTGTCACCTCTAGGACCATCCTGCAATTGCTTTTTTCAAGTGCATAAGACAACAGAGGCAAGGGACAGCACATGCTGCTGAGTTACAGCTCAGGAGGAGCTCAGTTCAGTTCCAGCCCTCAAGGCAAAACCCCAGCCCTGTGTTGACAGCAGATCTGGCCAACTCAAAAGGAATGGGAAAGCTCTGAGAGTTCTCCTCTCTGGTGAAAAACCTGATCTCACAGGAGGTAGAGCTCTGAAAAAAAAAGGAAAAAATGGACAGCACTTGGCCCTGCTATTCCAGACCTCTGTGTAACAATATTTCTTGGCTGTTGGGCTGTAACACAGCAAAAGCTTTGTAACTTTTTAAACAAAAATCTATTCTTTAATCTTTGGGCATTTCCATTACTGTTTACATATGGATCCCATTTTCTTGGCTTCAGTAAGAGCACAGAAGTGATGCAATAAGTAATCAGAAAGAAAGGATAAAATAGTAAGTGAAGCAGTTACAGCTGAAACCTATGCAGAGCTCTTGGGGAAAGAAAACACCAACCAAAACCAAGCAAAAGGTAACACAACTAAACTTTGCACGACCAGCCTTGCTCAGTGATAAACACAAATGCAAAACAAACTTGGATGCACATCTTACCCTGCATGCCTGATGGACCAAAATCCTGCCTCGTGAGGAAGATGGCGTGGTCATGGTACTCCGCGTGCCCAGTGTCAGGTTTCTGCTGCAGGTAGGCCCAGCGACACACGTTCTCCAGGCTTTGTGAAGGGTTCCCAATCTCTATCAGACTCATAGACTGCACACGTGCAGGGGAAAAAAAAGGACACCAAGAGTTATTTATTAAAAGCTTGGGCTCCTAGTGTAAAACTAAGTGTGGTTTTTCATTACTTTCAGAAATGGACTTTTTCGATGACTGCCTTTTAAACTGCATTTTCTTTAAACCATTATGCATGTGAAGATCATTCAGAGGGTAGAACATATAACTGTAGCAGCCATATATAGCAGCAGCCCATTCTGTCTGATATAACTGTGGTGTGCCATTCTCCATATAAACCACACATTACATGGGTGGTGTGCTGACACAGCTTGGCCGGCTCAAATGGTCTGACATGTTAGATGAGGTGCAAAGGACAATTTTCTTGAACAAGAAAACGTATTTTAAAATCCAACTACTACATTTACCTTTTTTTTTTTTTGCAGTAGTACTTTTGTAAGAATTCTCAGTTTATTCTACTTAATATTGTGCACAGCTAAGACTTTAGAAAACTTATTGTATGTGGGATGCTATAAAATGTATGACTAATTGACCTGTCCCAGGCCTTCCAGGATTTTTAAGAACTACATATGTGAACCCTGGCTTTTCATTTGCAAAAATTATATTACCATGACAACACTGTAATCATAACACAAACCACTACAATTTAGATGCTATACTCTAATGCAAGTATTTGTCATTCCAAAATACTTCATGGAGAGCAAAACCTACCCTAGGCCAAAAATAAGAGAGAAGTAATATAATTCGTGTTTAAATACAGATGAATTTGACGTGTCCTCTAATTGAGTGCGTGATGGAGTACAGAGAATATTGACTACATGAAACAGAAAATCCTCAAAGGGTTGTGGAAGAACAACTGGAATTGATAAAAAGAAGTGTCTGCCAAACTGAGGTCTGATTTTGGCAAAACTAAGATATTAGAATTCTGCAAATGTTCAGAAAAACAAATTAATAAACCAAATAGAGGCTCAGTTTGGATTCTGATACCACTGCGGAATGAAAAAGTTGTAATATAATCCTATGCTGGATCATACTGCTTCCAGCCATCATTCCCTTGGAAATTGAACTAATAACTGTATTTTAAATGGCGGGACAGTTGTGGTGCCTTTATTGCATTTTTGTATATTTATAAGAACAGACTTAAACAAACTTTGAGTCACTATTACAGGGCAAAATCCTGACTCTTCAAGCAAAAATCCTAGTCAGTTAAACAGAGTTTGATCATTGCTGAGGTCTTCAATAACATCCATCAGTGGTTAACCAAAAACAAACAAGCAAACAAGCAGAAAACCTATCTACATTGTCTCCACTGTTCTCATTTCTCCAAAGCCACACAAAAGAGATCAATCCCGTCAAGGAGCTCAGTGAGAAATCTAACTGCAAGACTCAAAAAGCAAAGAATGCTGTAAAATGAAGTTGAGAAGTCTCAGGTCGTGTATTGTTTGCTAATAGTTCCTTATCTCACAATGACCTCCCTCTGTACATTGTACCAAATGAAAATCATTAGATCTTATAAGATGCATTGATCAGAAAACAAAGAAAAAATGCACACTATCAACATGTTCTTTCTTTAAGAATATCCAATTATTTGCAAAGAAATCTCTGATCAAAACACTGATTTTAGTTTTTTTCCAAGCAAATGAAAGGAGCACCAAACAGTTAATGTGGAGCATTGGAGGGGGGTTGCATCCAGCACAGTGGGGAAAATGAAGAAAACCCCTTTGGCTTTGTAGGGGAAGCTGAGAAAAAACAAGTCTATAATACATTTCAGTTGACCCAATTTCTTTGCCAATAACACAATTTTAACATCAGAAATTTGGCACATAAGATTGAGCCCTACTGCTCTTTAAGTTGGGAAACGAGGCATCCAGTAGGAAATCCATTATTTTGAGTGTCCATGTCCTACAAATGTAAGCAGCGAGTTGAGGTCCTGTGTCAGTGAGGAGGACTTGCAAAGAGTGAGAGGGAAAAACTCAGTTCTACCTGCTGAGTATTCAAAGTCCACTGAGCACTCAAGTCGTTTTTGCCACTAATCCCCTGTCTTTCCTCACAGTAATGTAACAGCCTGAAAAGAGAAACCCATTTGATTCCTAGCAAATTTTCACCTGAACTCCCACTTTCTGCAATTTGCCAAGGGCTTTCAAATCAGAAAGGCTGCAACAGTACTAACAGCAAATCCTGCATGGCCAGAGAACCATCAATCTGACAGTGAGTCAGCCTCACTGGGCTCTGAAACTGCTCTGGCTGCAGCCAAAGAACCACATATACCATGGTCGTCTCCTGATCATAGGCAACGGGATGTCCAGGGAAGGGAATTAGAGGAGCACAAGTATAGTGTAGTGTTTCCCTCTAGATAACTTCTAAGGCTCCAGTGGTCTTTGGATCAGAGATTTCCTAAGCCAAATAGGCCTTTATATTGCATTTTTATCTGCTTTTCCAGCTGCCTTGCCTTTACAGATAAATGCAGCTGTCCTGCAAGAAAGGAGCTCAGGAAATCATGGGACCCGGCAGAGCTTGTTAGTAGACAGCACAGATGTCATATGTTTTGGAAGGATGTTGTCCAAAAAGTTACTCTTGTAGAGATGTCAGATAACACTTGATAGTATGTACTGTTGGAAGTCAATGGGGAGCTTTCATCACTCAAGAAAGCCCAACCCCTTATTAAATGGACAAAGCAAAAGGAGAAGGAGGACAAGAGATGAGCTGTGTACAGTAATAAGGACTGTAAGGTAAAATCCCTCTTTGTCACACTGCAAACAGAGAAAGTTTGGGGGCCAGCAGGCTGCACATGGAGAAGAGGTGTAGGTGTTACTGTTGGCCAGCAAAGGGCCTGCACTGCCAGGAACACGCAGGTCCTGCAGCTGGCTGGGAGCTCAGACCTGGCTGGGAAGGACCTATTTCCAAACAGGACAGCAGGCCTGTGGAGAGCATTACTCAGCTGATCAGCAGGAAAACTGCCAATGGAAAGAGAAACTTTCCTTCTCACAGCAAGAAAGGCAAAAAAAATCTCTGAACTGCTGATGGAAACAGATGGAGGTGTTGGCCAAGAAGTGGAAAGGGCTCAGCTGGGAGAACATCCCCCAGGCGAGGAGACACCACAGAGAGTTATGAGGAGAATCTGCCCTAAAGAATCAGCTGAAGCCCTTTCTCTGGGAAACTCAACATCTACCAATGCTTTCCATTTGCATTCCTTTTTTGATTCTACCTTCTGTTCTTCTTCACTCCCTTCCTTAGATGAAAACAGCAGAAAAAACCTAAAAAAAAAATAGAAGACAACTGAGCTGCAACTACCATTCATACACAGAGGCAAAGAAGGGCATTGAGAAAGTGTTGAGAGTCACTAGAGAGGTCTTTGAGCCATCTTTGCCATCTGTCTTGTCCTTTGGGAAGTTATCAGTGTGATGTTCAGTTCTCTTGTATGAAGACACTGAAGAACAAGTCACTCATGAAGCTGACTGAAAGGTCCTACAGATACTTGTGGGGATTGTTGGACAAGTGAGAAATATGAGATTTTTTTTTCTTTAACAATTTCAAAGTCATCTTAGAAGAAATCTGCAAATTTAGACTATGTTCTACCCAAACCTTTCAAGAATGTTCAAGCTGCCAGCCCATGTGAAAGACAGACAAGTATCACCACAAAATGGCAGCTCCCCTTAATGAACTGTTTTATTTATCTGCCATTTGGCATCACTGGGTACAAGCTTGCAAGGGTGTTGATTAGCAGGTACTTGATGATAAGAACATAAGAAATTTAGTCTGGTCAGAACCTTTCCTAACTCATCCATTAGGTGGTGCTCCAAGAGTACCAACGGAGAAGGCTTTGCAGCTCTTCAGTAGCTCCAGGAGGAGCAGAAATTTGTTTAACATGATAGGCTTCAAACTATGGTAGCAAAAGTTGGACCAGAGCAGTGCACACATTCGGGAAACAATTTAACATATGTCTTTCCCTTCTTGAATGTGTAAAGTCTCTGCAAAAAAACCTGTTTACATTGCTTCTACTTGGCACTCCTATTGTTCATTGGATATTGGATTAGATTTTCTATATTCTTCTCTGATCCTGAACAAGACAAGGAAAAAATAAATAAATACAATTATTGAGTGTCCATGGTAACTGAACTAACAAAAATAGCTCATTCAGCAAACTGTCATTTCGCATTCAAAGGATTTGTAAAGCTTTCTTATGGCAGCAGTTTGTAAACATTTTTCAGTCTCTAATTCTGTATAAATGTAAGCAGATCAGGAATACAAAGTACTGTTTATGCTATCAGCCAGCTCCACATTCTTCAAGGTCCCAACAAAACACATTAGGAAATTATAAGCTATGAGTCTAATACATAAATAAGGGAATTCAACAATTCACCCAGATAAAAAACAGGAGGGACAATATCTCTTCTCTTTATCCCTACCCTAAGCATATGAAAACAGTGCAAAAACATGAACAGCAGCCAAAATGCTGTATAATAAGTAGGTTCTGGCCTTGCAACTCAGTTCAACTCAGTCTGTGCAGAACTGGTTTGGCCACACTGGAGTTGGCCAAATGCTGGGGTCAACAACTCCATCTTCAGACACATTTGTGCAGCGCACTGCAAGATCAGGGCTTGATTCCTGCTGATTCTTTCAGGTCTTCTGCATCTACCAATGTCAGTGGAAAACTAAGATACTCAGTTCACATCAGTGACCTTCTAATACAAGGAGAGGCTGGAGAAGAAGAGGCTGGAGAAACTCTCAACGTATATAAGTAGCTACTGGGCAGGGAATAAAGATGACTGAGACAGTCTTCTCAGTAGTATCCAGAGAAAGGACAAGAGGCAATGGGCAAGAAAAAAAGCCTTTAGGAGTGTTACTGTAGTTTTACTCTAAAAATGGCTAAACATTGGGAAGGGTTGCCCAGAGACTATGAAGTCTCTGGAAATATTCAAAATACAGCTGGGCAAGGTCCCGAACAAGCTGCTCCAAATGACCTTGTGTTGAGCAGGGGAATTGGACTAGATGATGCCCAGAGGTCCATTCCAAGCACAGCTGTTCTGTGACCATAATGTGCAGCTAAGAACCTCCTTACATTGCCAGGCACAAATGCTCTCAGCCAGAGTTTTGGCATTTTCCTGGGAAAAGTGGAGATGGGTGGAGGCACTCATCCCTTTCCCTCCATCCGGGGGCCAACAGCAAAATGGTAAGGATGAACACCAGATTTAAGGGGTCAACCTGGTTTGTCCTTCCAAGGCCTCCCACTGGGAAACAGAGAGAAGAAACTGATTCAGATCAAAGCAGCACTTTCCATCCTGGCTGAACCAAGAACATCTTCCTTGCTTGTATTGAGCTTAGACATGAAAAGGTCAGATGGCAGAGATAAAGAGAGCATCATTTTATGAAAATATCAAAGGTAAAATCTTGTCCCAAATGAAGGCAGCAGGAGCTCTGCTAACATCTCAGACATACACAGTTGAAAAATCCTTCTCAGTTAACCGTCCTGTCCTGTGAGATTTTAGGCATCCAGCCAACAGTACCTTCTTCCTGACCTGCCATCTTAAAGCCATTTGGATTTTCTTCCCTCCCCTAATCTTTTTGAAAGTCTCTCTGCCTTGGTGGTCAGGTTCCTCTTTCAATTTGACCAAGGTAACACACAGCCAGAGTCCAGCCACTCATTCTGGGGCCAACACTGGTTTATAGCTTACGTGGCTTTTCTCTCCTTACTAGTTGCACTTCCAGATGAGTATGGAGCAGACACACCATCTCTCAGCCTATCTCACCCTGCTCCAGCCTGAATACAGGTGGCTCCAGCAGTGCATGTTGCTCCAAAGGAGAGTTCAGGGGTTCCTGCACTGCCTCATTCACATTTCCCAAGAAATAACCCTCAGAAATCCTCAGGTGGCTGCATTTATTAAACCCCTGCAGTTCCTGCAAAACTCTGATTTTTTTTCATTAATCACTGTATTAATTACACCCATCCCAGCTAATATGTGTGCTTTTCCCTGTGCTGTGCAAGGGCAGCTCATCTGCACACAGAGTCACCATTGTCAATGGACAGACCGTGGGGCTGGAGCCAGGAATTTATGAGGTCTTATCCCCAGCCTGCCAGTGGCCTTCCGTGTGGCCTTGGAAAATAACTCTTAACATCGTTGTTTTTTTAGCTGTGAAGTGGGAATAATAATCTTTATTCATCCACCTCAAAGAGGCGATGAGAGGATTTTATGCAGTGCTCAGGATTTAAATGTTTCCAAACAAATTTTATAATAACCAGTCAGGATTTTTTAAATGCATTCTCAGCTCATCTCTTGCCACCTCCTCTGCACTTGGTGATCGTGGTTGCTCTGCTTATTTCCCTCAGTATCCTAGAGCTAGCTGGATTACAGAGCCCTTACAACCAAAATAGGTCTAAGTGGAATAATTTGCCCAAACATTGAATTATATTAATCTCAAATGTATCCACAGCTTCCAAAATTTGGAACCAATCTTCCTACTACTGAAGTCAAAAAGGCAGAAGCGAGCCAGCTCATCTTTTTCCCATTTGAAGAAAAATGCACTGCATGTACCCTGTTTACTTATTTGCAGTATCCCACCCCATCACAAGAGCCTGGGACTTTGGGAGTCAATGTCAAGAAAACGCAGAGAAATCCATGGGGGCTTCTGGAGCCACTGCAGATATGAAGCAGCCTTCGCAGAACACATTTTTCTATCCTAATGGTGGAATTGATAAATGAGTGGGCAGCAACCAGGCATGGCTGAAACCTTCACATCAGTCCCTCTGGTACATCATCAGTTTGAAGTACTGAGAGAAGAGTGGGGAGTCAGGGAAGGGCTGGTGGCTCCTGCAAACCTACTCCAGCCACAGCCCAGCCACACTCTACCTGCTCCCCAAATACACCACCCAAGCCTGGTGCTCCTTGGCAGGGCTCAACCTGCCATAAACCTCGAAGTCCAGAGGTGATAACTCACAAAGTACTAGTTCAGTAAAACCATGTCAGATCTCTTGAATTTGTCCCTGAAGTAATTTCAGCATGTGATCACCAAGGAATGTCTTCCATTTTTTCACCCTACCAGGGCAATTAATGCAATTCCTGAAATTACTGAAACTTCTGAATGTACAGTTGCCTGTGTTTGAGAACATTAAAAAATAAGTACATTTGAAGGAGTGGAGTACCTTCAAGCAAGAACCAGTGAAAGGTTGGTTGCTATGCAACTCAAGTATTGTCCATATTATTCTTATCAACAGATGATATATTGTATAAAATAATATAATCCTCTAAAAAAAACCCACAATACAGTAGAAGGCTTCTCAGGGGTGGAGAATTGGCAACAGCTGAGAGTGCTGTCATAAAACTGACGTTGATGGTACATACTTCATCAATTACAGAACCATAATGTAATTATTATGATTATTTAAATGGCACCCTTGATAATATATATAAATTGCCTGCAGTGAAGCAAATGAATCTGAAGATATCAGCTCCATGCTTTCAAAAGAAATCTTACTCAAACAAGACTGGGATAATATTTTCATACTGTGAAGCCAACCAGGCTGCTTCATTCATGCACTGCCTTAACTTGCACATGCAAGAAACTTGCATTTCTTGTATTATGTACTTTGAATATATATTCCTGAAAAATTGTTAATACTGATATGTGGGATAGTAAAGTATTGAAGGCTTTGTTCTAATTCCTCAGAACAAGTTATGAAAGTAAGAATGATACATCTTTTCTGTCTGCTTTTCCACGGCTAAATAATCCCAAACCTCTGAGGAGAAATCTCCTCACCTTCTACTTCCCAGTACTAGTCCTCTGATCAGGAGCTTTAAATACAGGAACATAAAAGAATGTATTCTTATACAGCCATGGCATGCAGGTCCCCACACCATAGAGAAGCTTTGAAATTATATCTTTTACATAGTTTTTACTTTTTTTCAGGAAGCCATAAATTGCCTTTCATGTAAATAAGAATCAGATATAGAAATGCAAGAAAAATTATCTTCCTGGCTATTTAGGGCAAGCTTGTGACAGTGGAATTATGACACTTTATGGCCTTCTGAAACCAGCAGGACAGCTCAGAAGCTACAACATTGTCCAGTGCAGATTATGGATTTAGAATCTCCAAGCAGAGCATCCACAAGCAGATTACACAGTGCTACCTGCAACTGCTGCTTTTGTGATGTGGCCAAAGACCCACCATGAAGTGATGACTTCTGTCCTCCACCCCACTCTCCTCTCTAAATAAGATTAATATGAAGTCGATAACTTTCAAATTATAAGTGGACAAGTCTTTGCTCTTCACAAGAAAATAAAGATTCTTAAAAGGGAATGAAGACTGCTGTAGTTACTGTCTACCATCAGGAAAATGGCAAAGTTATCAGAGTTCAGACTGGTACAGATTTATAGAGCTGAAGATAGACACATAACAATTATGAAATACCCAGGAACTAAAGACTGCAAAGAAGTGACTAGCCCATGTACTAATTCTGTTGGCTTCCACCAATATTGCAACCTCAGATTTTTATGAGATTAGTCAGTCTGCAATCCCTCTAATTGTTGCTGTTACAGCTATCACAAAGATATTTCATTTATTTTGTAATTCAATGTTAACTACACACACCATGAACTTTCGGTCACAAAATGGCAAATATGACCTTTTTTACCTTTTATTTTAGGACATACACCTGATTAAGCTTATCCAGAACATGTAACTTCATCATCACCTATATCACTGCAGGAAAAGCAGAGATGAATTCCTGTGTTTAGCTCCCAGACGGGGAAGCTCCAATAAAAAAAATTAACCAAAATCCAGGTAACTAGTCTCCAACAGAGTCCAGACTAAACCTCAGAGCTCCCTCATTTGCACCAGGGAAGAAAATTCTCAGCTGATATCGAGCAGAGTAAATGGGTGAATGTCAGTGGAGCTTCACCACTGACACATCTGCACCAGCTTTTTGCCGACAGCATTCCAGCAACTTCCACGAACAGACAGAGTCTTCCAGAACCCAGAAGAACTACATGAGCATGCAAATGCCAGCAACTCCAGTCACAGAAAGGTGCCTTAGACTCTAACACTCCACCCTGAGCAGCTGGGCATGCTGCTGTGTTAGAGAGCACTAAAATCACACGTCCTTAACCAAAGCATTTATCAACAGACTTAAAACGCCCTCTTCCTGTTTCCATGGAATTTGATGTTGATGTGGCAATAATAGGGCACAGGTAGTGAACTGATCAATACTTTTGAAATGCATTTAACATTTTGTTTCTCTGTACTCAAGTTTTGCCTGTGGAGTAACCCCTTCCATAGGAACAGTGAAAGAAAAAACACTTAATATTCCTTATTACAGATTTGATCTGCAGAGCTCTTGCCTTCCAGCCCCTATTCCACAGAACTCCCATTTAACTTTAAGTACATGTATAGTCCCACTGATAATAAGCACAAGTATAAATGAGTTCTTAGAAAGAGGCTGTAGCCTTCAGCATCTTGCAGAACTGATCTTGTTTTTATTGTCACTTACATACACTTCTACCAGAACACCTTGTGTTTTCTTTAGTAACCAAAATGCTCTCTATGTTTTGTGGATTGTTCCAAACAAATCTGAAAATACAGACTGCCACAACTAAGCAACAATTTCGAATGAGAAAGGGAAAACCCAGAAGAAACTGAAATTATTTGAAATGTGTAGTTCAAATGGTAAACAAATATATATAAACATAAAAGTTCTTTATATTCATAGACTGGTAAGGACAATATATGAATTACAATACAAAACCAATACCAGTCACCAGTAACTACACTGTTCATAAACAAATGAAGTTTATAGATATTGATATTCTCCATTTAAATTAACCTTTACTTACCTTGCCATAGCTCAGCAGGATTATCCTCACCAAGACAACGTTAATGTGAGCACCCAGGGACTCATCATGATAAATTTCATTAACCTGCAAAAGAGTTCAGCACTTTAATGATGGTACTGGCAGCAAGTAACTATGAAAGCAGTGATACAGCAGTACCTTTTATGCTTTGTCATTAGTCCAGAGACCAGTTTGTGTTCATATATAAAACATGAAAAACCCCACTAATGCAAGATGGAATGTTCTCTTTTCCAGACTCTGTTGTAGCCTCCCAACAGGTCATAATTCAAGAAATCATTTAAGATCAACACATAATTGGAGACTGACAGATTGACAGGTACATAAGCGCCAGCCTAAATGGACTTGGAGGTATCATGGTGCACCTACATGATGCAGCGGAGCTGACCCGTGTGTGCCTGCTGGAGCCTGGAGCAGTCATCCAGGCAGAATCCCAAATATCTCTCTGTATGTGGGGAAGGGGACAGTGAGCAGAGGAACAGAACCTCTCTCCCAAGAGCAATTCACTGAACCAGCTCAGCTGCACCAACTCTTCCATCTGGGACCCATCACCTCACACTCTGCCAAGAGGATATACCTCCCTCCTAAAGCTGGTCGGGCACATGGGCTGGCTTTGTTGTCTGTCAAAACTCATCATTGTTAAACTCTGTAAGCAGAACAAAAGCTACAAAATGCCAGCAAATTAAAACTGTCCTTTTTTTTTTTTTTTAATAGTAGAGCTACATAACTAAACACGCACGCGGGAAAATCACCCCAGGAACACAGAAAAGAAAACTGTAAATATTTAGAGAATGAAATGTGGATGAATAATGATTACTGAGGAAACACTATGACACACAAGCTAGGCAAATATTAACTGTTAAAGAGGCTGATTTAAGTATTCAGTGATGAAGACTGCATGAGACTCAGCCAAGTGGCAGGGGTTTAGCTTTACGAATTAGAAGAGGCAGATGAGATTCCCTGCAAGGCAAGTGCCTCTCCTAAAACCTCCTTGCCTTGGTAAAGGTTGCACCAAACTGGACTGCTTTGCTGGCTGGACCTAAATTTCATTTATTCCTGCAAACTAGATTCATTACTCCAAGCTAATAAATAACTTTCAGAAAACCTTTCATTTGAAACACAGTAAATAACATCCTGTTACTTTCATCAGCCCCAGTTTTAATGGCCCATCTTTTATCTCTGCAAAAATCATTAAAATTAAATGCATCAGTGTAGGCTTTGCTAAGCAATCCCCGTTGACATTTTAAAGTGAATTTTAATTCATTTCATCCGTATTTTTTGATAGAAGGGCTTTATTTTATGCTTGGTAGATGTCCAAGTTTTCAACAGTCCTGAGTATCCTGTGCTGATGGGTTGGAAGTGGTGTGGTTGAACCACAGCTCCAGGAGCAGGTTCACACCCTCCAGGTCACCTGCCCAGGCACCTGGAGAACATGCTGGGGGATGCCTGGAATCCAGGCTTGTTGCTGGTTGATGAGCAAGCAGATCCTTGGCTGGAAGATGGTGGATGAGGAACCCATGACTATAATTGGCTTCAGGGGCTGCTATTTTCATTCGGATGTAGAAGTAGCTGATCTGTTCAGATGTACTTTGTAAACAACGCCTCTAGAAATTGGATAATCTCTTTACATGTCTAAATAAGACTCGAGAAGGCTAACTTCATATTCCAATAATTTAAAAAATCTCTTATTTTTACTCTGAGGACCATTGCTGAACAGAGATTATAAAGAGGTAAGATATAAATACATATTTTGCTTTACAAAAACTCTTTCACCCAGGAAAAAGACCCTTGTGCATTGTCAAGGGACTCAGAGATAATAATTTGCCTCCCTCTTCATGTGGTGAGAAGAAAGCACATGGATATGAGGTTGAAATAAGCTGTAAATTACCCATACATGAAATGAGTCCTAAACCAGAACTGCTGTGTACAGGGGACAGCAAACACAGCATGTAAATAAGTATTTAATTAGTTCATAAAGCATAATCCAAATTGCTCTCTCTCTCTTAACCTAAGCCTCTTTTAACAATAGTTGAGTAACCGAACAACTGTATCGCTGTTCTGTGCCAAAGGGAAACTTGGCTTGAAAACGTCGATGGAACAGAATTAAAACACTGCCTGACTGTTCATGCAAATGACATCTAACAAACAAACTGTGAATGAACAGAAAAGCACAGGCACTGTAAAAAGCTGCTTGGTTCTCTTGGGATCTTGAATTTTGTGCAAGACAGTGGGCCAATTCAAAGCTCTGGGTCTTGGTTTCATTAATCAGGATGAGTCCAACCTCTCTTCACAGAGCATCTTTCTCTAAGCTAAACTGTGACTTTGCTAGTAGTGTCTCACTGCACATAGATAACATACTGAAATAGATTCTTTTCTTTTTTTCCAGCATGGCCTAAATTGCACTTATTTGTTTCAGGAAGCTAGTAAAGATACAAAATCCAAGCAGCTGAATGTTGTGCTCTCAAACATTCATGAAAAGCACACACAGTTGCCTCCACGATCAGATTCACCAAATTTCCTCCTGTTATTTCAATAGGAAAGCAGAGTCAAGATAATGCAGCACAATGTATAGGGCAGAAAATGACCAACCAATGTGTGGAATCAGAAAGCTCCAGACTTGAGAGCAACTCACAACTTTGAAACTTACTCTTTCAAATCAGAGGTAATCAGGCAGTGGATATACATGTTCAGAAGTCCGTGCAATAAATACACATAGGTGTGAAAACAAGTGCATAGTACTTTCACAGTACTGCATCTCCATGTACTTCAGTAGGACATCCTAGTTCATACCAACAGATCAGTACGATCCTGGATCAGTACATCTAAAATTAAGTTGCTGCATAGGAATAGAAAGGACAGAGACTATCCCAAAATCACAGCTCCTGAACTGAAGGTGGTGAATGCATTAAATCCTGTTAGATGTCCTAGAGTGATTCAGCATTTATAGAGGGTGATGAAGAAGGCTGGGAAAATCTCAAAGAATTCAAAGTGCAGTGAAACACTCTAAAGAGACTTTCATCAAGCTATTGTAGTTCACTAACTATTTTGGGATAACTTTGCTTTCTTTTTCTGGGATATTTCAAAGGAAAACATGCATTTCTATTTAAAGTTTCTGTTTAGAAATCAGGCTGGCACAGATTGGTGCTTCATAAGAAAAACAAAGACTTCATTTACTTTTTTCATCTGTCCCTCCCTGCTAATTTTATAATTCTTCTGCCTTGAGCAAGTTTCAAGTCAGCACAGTAAGCACATAGAATACATCAAAAAACTAAAGGCAAGCCAGGAGCCTGTGAGGTGCCTCATGCTTTGTAAAAGCAGCACTGGAAAGTTTTTAGTATTGAGCAAAGCAGGCCCCAATCCTAAAAGGGAATTTTGAAAGCTGCTGTAACACAAATAGTAATCACTAGCCTGCAGTTCTGCAAGTCCTGGTACAGAGCAGGTTACCTGCTGATAGAGCTGGCAGGGCTTTTAGGGAAAGTCAGGTGGTTCCCTCAATCTCTAATTAAACCGATGCACAATAGGAGAACAATCTGCACATTTTGGCAAGTCATGGGCAAACTCATTCATGCAGTTTGAAGGAGTTCTCAGCCTTGCAAAGTTTGTTGGTATCTGCTATGCAAAAGGCAGCCCTCTTCGTCACAACACAACCACGGCTCCATCCCGCTGAACCATAAATCATCGTGTTCATCCCGAGGCACACCCTCTGCAGCTCCATGGGTTGTGCCTTACGCTCGGGTGGGCGCCGCTTCCTCGGGCTCCTGAGCACACACACCCTGTGGACATCTAATAGTTTCCACCTCAGGCCACCATCAATGTCAAACGGCTCCGACCCAGCGACAGCGGCCGTCAGAGGGCTCATCTGACCATTTGGAGAGGGCACAAAACAAGATGCATCTGGTTTTCCAGCTGCCACAAACTGCTGATCCATCCAGCCTGATTAGCCTGCTCTTTGATCACCCAGCATCCTTACTCAACTACTGTTGCAGAAACTACCGATGGCTACGTGCTCCCGGGCAGAGCAGGGACCATGTGTGGGTCTCTACCAGAGAGATACTGGAGGAGCTGGAGACCATCAGCTCCTTCCCCGTGGGATGGCAGAGCTCCTGGCAAACCATTGTTAGAGCCCAGCCCGAGACGCAGCTCATTCATCAGATCGTAATTATCTGCAGCAAAGCCTCGGTGCCTGGTGGGCATCCAGTGATTGTCTATTTCTGTAAGAAACGTCTGTTTTGAATTACAGAATAGGAACCAGAAATGTCATGGTGGATACTGAGCACAAACTTTTGTAATCTGACCCTCCAAAAAGCATTCCCCTCTCACTTTATATTTCTGTGGTCCCACTTCAAACACCACTACCCTCTTCAATTTTCATCACCTCCTTCGTGCTTTTGAAAATCCCAGAGTAGCATTTCTAACATTCCCAAAGCTTTATCTTAATCCCACAGGAATAACATTACATCAATTCCTTGGGTGGATGTACCGTGGTCACACAGAAAGTCATCAGGCAAAATCCAGGGTTCCCAAGTCTCTCTTTCTAGTCCCTACAAGGCATTTCCTAATTTCCTCAAAGAGGAACTCTTTTTTTCCTGAAATCTTTGTTGAGCATCACACAGAAAAAAGAATAATGAAAGCACACAAAACACATGAAACTTAAAGGTCAAACTGTGATCTCCAATTTGGAAAACATCTATCATTCTGCTCAAAACCAGAGGCAACAGGCAGTTTTAGAAGAGCTTGGCAATGTACATTAACAAAAAAAGATATAAGAATCTGGCATTTTCTATGCAAATATGAGCCTGAGTCCTGATTTACCTTCCCTGGTGTGAGAGTTAGTAGATGTTACCAAGTCCAAGTTAGCTACTTCTGATCAAAATGAAAAACATTCCCTTGAGCAGATGTGTTGGCAAGGCATTAGGTAGCTTCATGTAACGGGTCTCTATCTCATCTTTGACTGTAACACTGGCTTCAGAAAGGTCACAGACTTTGTTTTCTGACTTCATGACTAATTTATTTCTCTTAGTTCCTCCCATAGGCTCTTGGAACTCCTTGCTTTTGCCACAAACCATTGC